AAGCAGGCCAGGGGGAGGTGTTTCAACAGGGAGGGGCCACAGGTAGCTCAGAGATGAAGAGAAAAGGAAGGAGATAAGATTCTTGAGTAGATACAGGCCCTAAGCCCTTGGGGTAGCAGAGTCTCTATCCATTCCCCAGCTCCACACCCAGAAGGGCCAGTATCCTGCCAGCACTTCTCCGGAGGCTGGGACAAGGGAAGCTCCCCCCAGCCACTCCCTCTGAGCAGCCAGGGCTGTGGGTGTCTGAGGGCCTAGCCCCAACACATCCAGGAAGTGGGTCACAGCACGTGGGTGTCCACAGACCTCCTGCTCACCCCACCCTGGGGCCTGCCCTGGAGCCACCAAAGGGGCTGAGGAAGCTGTGATGAAACAAGCCTCAGGCCCCAGCATAGTGCCTGTCTCAGCAGCCCCTCGGAGCAGGCTCTGAAAGGAAGGCAGACAGCCTCCACGCCCAGCCTTGCCACAAATTCATGGTGCCTCTTGAGCCATCACTCCCCCTCTCTGGCTCTCAGAGCCCCCACTTCAAAGAGAAATGATGGGTAAGTAGAATATTCAGTGACAATATGATGAGCTATGAAGCCATGAAAAGACCTGGAGGAACCTTGAAGGCATATTGGTAAGTGAAAACCAATCTGAAAAGGGTACATATTGGATGACTGCAATCCTATAACACTCTGGGGAAAACAACTGGAGACAGGAAGAAGATCCACGGTTGCCAGGGAATTGAGAAAAAGGAGAATGAACAGGTGGAGCACAGGGGATTTGAGGGCAGGGAAACTACTCAGTGTGATCCTGTAAGGGCGGATACATGCCATTACACAATTGTTAACACCCACAGAATGAACAACACAAAGAGTGAACTCTGATGTAAACTATGGACTTTAGTGTAAGATGTTAAAAATAGGAGCAAGTGGGGGAGAAGGGAAGGAAGTATCTATACTTTCTGTAACCCCAAAATCGCTCCAAAAAAATAAAAAAAAAATAAAGGCTATTAATTTACAAAACAAAACAAGCCCTAGCCGGTTTGGCTCAGTGGATAGAGCATAAGCCTGTGGACTGAAGGGTCCCCGGTTTGATTCCAGTCAGGGGAACATGCCCAGATTGTGGGCTCAATCCCCAGTGGGGGCCATGTAGGAGGCAACCGGTCAATGATTCTCATCATTGATGTTTCTAGCTCTCTCTTTCCCTCTCCCTTCCTCTCTGAAATCAATAAAACATATATTTAAAATAAAGAAAAAACAAAACATAAAGCAAAGGTGGGGATTTTTTTCTCCACAGGGCCTTTCCTCAGGGTTCTAACATGAAGCAAAATGTAAGGAAGTGCTTCACTTTATGTAGGCCTGTCCTATGAAAATTCAGATCTCAAAATAGATAACTGAGCCTTTGCCTGACAGGACTTGCCACTGAATCCTGTCAAACGGCGATCCCTCTGGAAACTGACAGAACTCATACACACATGCACAGCATTCCGCTCACCCAAAGAGACAAGACCATGCCCCACCCTGCCAGGACCAGAGGTGCACCCACACCTGGCACCCATGCAGCACAAGACACTCCAGGTGGGGGCTCTGAGCACAGACCCTGCTCAGGGAGGAGCCAGGCAGGGGCCCTCGGTGCTGGGGAGCAGCCTCCAGGGCCCAGAGCATCAAGGGGCCTGGGAGCCCGCAGGGCCCTGGGCAACCAGCATTAGCAGCTCCAGGAAGGCCGGGCTCCCTCTTCTGCTCTGCCCACACTCTACCTCTAGGCCTTAACGATCTCTGGAAAAGGCATGTCCCAGGGCAGAATGAAGACGCCAGCACCGGGACAGTGCCACAGCTCCCAGGACACAGGCGTGGACAGGCTGGACTGAGCATGAACAAGAGGCAGAAGGAGCACCCATCTACCGTTGGTCATTTTTCATAGAAATGTTCTTCCATCTCAGAGCCACTCTGCTCAGACAGAGATACACATGAAGACTGAGAGGCTCTAGAAGTTCCCATGGCCCAAAGCCCTCAAACCCGTGGCTGAGGCCACCATCACAGAGGCTCCACCCTGACCCAGAAAATGCACCCCACTCACTGATTCTCTCTTGCACCAGCCACACTCCCACCCGGTGGCTTACCCCTGAAGGCCTGACAAATGCCCCACCTCCCATTCCAGAATGCATGGTCATCCAGTTTGGAAACAAGGCCATGTAAATGGCTGGTACCCAGACTGGGCACAAGCATTTGTCATCCTATATGGGACCAGCCCAACCTGACCCAGCCAGCCACGCGGAATAGGCCAGGCACAGCCAACCAGACAGGGAGCTGCCAGCAAGCCAGAAACAGACTCAGCCAGGCCCTTCCACGAAGTCCCTGCTCCTTCCCACCTTTTGCATAGGCCAGTCTCTAGGAGTTTCCCCCACCCAGCCCCCCCACCTCATCCAAGCCTCACTTCACCCTGAAGAAAGGTCAAGGCTTATGACACCAAACTCTACACCTCGCTCTCGGAGTCCCTCACACACATCTTCTTTTGGAGATTTTTCTCCCTAAATGATATTTTCTCCAAAAAAAAAAAAAAAAAAAAAAAATATATATATATATATATATATATATATATATATATATATATTTTTTTTTTTAATGTGTAAATCACACATCTGACTTACATGCAAAATATTAAAGAACTCAAAAGAAATCACAGACAAAAGATCTGGATTGATATTTTACCAAAGATGTTAAATGAATGGCAAACACTTGAAAAGATGTCCAACATCATTAGCAAAGAAATGCAAATTAAAACCACCATGAGATTTCACTACACTCCCATTAGAATGGCAAAAACAAAAAGAATCCTGATATACCAAGTGCTGTTGAAGATATGCAGCAAAGGAATGCTCATGCTTTGCTGGTAGGAATGCAAAATGGTATATTGTGGGAACAGTATGGAGTTTTCTTAAAACATTAAACACACACGTGCCATATGGAAGACCATCCCCAGGTATTCCCACTCCAAGAGCATTGAAGGCCTGTGTTCACACAAAAATCTGGACGTGAATGTTGACAGTAGTTTTACTCCTAATTGACAAGGGCTAGCAACAACCCACAAGTCCTTTAATGGGTGAATGGATGGACACACTGTGGTGCACCATCCACACAATGGACTACTACTCAGCAAAAGAAAGGAATGGATTCTGATACACACAACTTGAATGGATCTCAAAACATTGTGCTGAGTGAAAGCAGCAGACTCAAAAGCTGCATACCTTAGGAGTCCATCGGACATTCTTGAAAACGGGGATGGGCTTGGGGGAGGGGTCCTGGAGGGGCAGCACGGGAGGGCACTGTTTGAGGAGACAAAAGTTCTCTTGACTGTGGTGGTGAATACCCAACTCTATGTATTTGTCTGAACCCACGGAACTGTGCACCACGGAGTAAATTTTGCTGTTTGTAAATTTAAAATTACATTTTTAAAAAGTCCTCCTTATGCCGAAACCGGTTTGGCTCAGTGGTAGAGCGTCTGCGGACTGAAAGGTCCCAGGTTCAATTCCGGTCAGGGGCATGTACGTTGGTTGCGGGCACATCCCTGGTGGGGGGTGTGCAAGAGGCAGCTGGTCGGTGTTTCTCTCTCATTGACGTTTCTAGCTCTCTATTTCTCTCCCTTCCTCTCTGTAAAAAATCAATAAAAATATATTTAAAAAAAAATTGTCACTGGCCTGATTAGGGAAAGAACTTGCCCTTCATCTACAGGGTGGGCCTTTAAAAAAAAAAAAAGTCATCCTTATTCTGCTCAGAGGGCTCAACTGCAATCTACCTCTTCCAAAAAGACCAGTTATCTCCATGACTATAGCCCTGAATCACTATTTTTTCTGTCTTCCCAGATTTATCCCTCTCTTCCTTCCACTCTTCCTCTGTTCCTCTCTTAGTTATACACAGCACAATCAAAACCCTACCCATCCCTGCCCGGCCAGTGTAGCTCAGTGGTTGAGCATCGACCTATGAACCAGGAGGTCAAGGATTGATTCCCAGTCAGGGCATGTGCCTGGGTTGTGGGCTCAATTCCCAGTGTGGGGAGTACAGGAGGCAGCCAATCAATTATTCTCTCTCATCACTGATGTTTCTATCTCTCCCTTCCTCTCCATTCCTCCCTGTAAAGAAAAATTTAAAAAACCAAAACGTTACTATAAAATGTTACTATAAATTTAAAAAGTTAAAAACAAACAAACAAACAAACAAACAAAAAAACAAAAAAAACCTGTCCTAGCTGATTTGGCTCAGTAGCTAGAGTGTCGGCCTGTGGACCAAAGGGTCCCAGGTTCAATTCTGGTCAAGAGCATGTAACTTGGTTGCTGGCACATCCCCATTAGGAGGCAGTTCATCGATGTTTCTCTCTCATCATTGTTTTTGACTCTCTATCCCTCTCCTTTCCTCTCTGTAAAAAAAAAAAAAATCAATAAAATATAAATATATTTTAAAACAAAATACCCTATCCATCCCACAAAGCTTGCTCAAGTGCCTCCTCCTCCGTGAAGTCTTCCCTGACTCCTCCCAGCTGCATCAGGATGAATCATCTTTTCCAGGCTCCCCCTTGTTTGTGCCTCTAATTAGCCCTTCTTTCATCGTACAGGTTGTCAGTGTTTGCTCTCAGTCTGTTTTCCCTGCTGGATCACAAGGGCCAGGTCTTCCCTCCACATTCCCCACACTGCACCCGGCACAGCCAGGCACACAGTGGGCGCTCTGAGACCACAATGGACTGGCTGAGGCCAGGTGCAAGCGGAGGGGGCTGATGCCAAGTGCGCTGGGCTGACAGTGTTGGGCTGGCAGGGTTCTGAGTGGGGCATCAGAAGCCACTGGTACTTCTCTTGCACAAGCAGCACCACCACTGCCCAAACCTTCAAATACCAGGAGTGACCTCTGCTCCATTCCAACATGAGGTCATTCCGACACGATGGAACATTTCTGAGGACGCTTTTGCTTCCTCCATGCCACCCAGCACAATTCCAAGCCCCAAGCAAACACTGAAAGATGTTGGGCGCACACCTGCTGGAGGACCGGAGCCTCTCTTGTCCTCCGGGTGTGTCATTTCTCACTCCCGGAAGGCCCTCTCTGCAGCAGCAGCAGGTCAGGCCCCTCTGCTCTGAGGCCAGTCCGTTGTGTAGAACTCCCGGGCACAGGCGCCGTGTGCCGGCAACGCCAGAGGGTCACTCTGTGACTGGGTTTTCCCAAGCACGCCATCAGCCTCTCTTTACAAATTCTAGCTTGTGCACGGTTTAAGGACCATCCATAAGTGATTTATTTGATAAAAACGTATTCAGTGATTAGTATTTGTCAGGCAAAACACTAAGCACTTTATAAACAATAACCAATTTAACCTTCACTTCAACCACATGAGGTCGGTTCCACTAATACTCTCATGCCCATTTGCAGAGGAGAAAATAAGGCACACCGCAGTGAGGTAACCTGCTCCAACGCTCTCCTGCCCACCCTCAGCCACTAGCTACTCGTGCCTGCTGAGCACTTGAAAAGCGGCTCATTCAAACTGAGATGTACTATTAAAGTGTAAGAGAATACATGCTACATTTTTAACACTTTGTATGAAAAAAAGGTAAACTATCTCAGTTGTTTTAAAGTATTGATTATATGTTTAAAAAAATCTTTCAGGCACAGTAGTTTAATAAAACATATTATTGAAATTCATGTTACCACTTTCTTTACTTCTTAAATTAAAGAAGTGACCCCCTAGGTGACTTAAAATTATATATCCGGCTTATGCTATAACTCTATTGGACAGCACAGGTCTGGGGTCTGTGCTCCACGCTGGAGAATGGAGCCATCTTTCCCTGCCCTCGCCTCGGGGTGCAGCCTGTCCCTAACTCCTGTCCATGCAGCTGGTACAAAGATGATGGGGAGCCAGGCTGTGACTCCCACATCTCCCCTTTCTGTCACCTCTGCCTGGACCCTGCCCCACCCCACCCCACATCTCTCAGCCTTGCCTCCAGCAGGAATCCCAGAATGTCAAAGTGGGGAAAATACCTCCCACATCGCCTACCACAACCCCTACTTGCTTCATGTGGAGAAGCTGAGGCCCAGAACCACATGGATGACCTAGATGTCATGTGGTCCAATTTCCCACCCAGGGCAGAGACCTCCAGAGCTTCCCTAACGAGTTCCAGGTAATGAAACTCTGTAGTTCTAGGTGGATGGAGCTGACTTACTATTGCTGCAAAGAGGGCCCGCCTTCGGGCACGAGAAACGACACACCCTGATGACGGGACGGGTTCCAATCCTCACCTGCCTTCTGCTAAGACACTCACACCAGCAAGCTCCACACGTAACAGGTCAGGGTGTATCCAAAAGCAGAGGCGACTCCCAAGGTGGCCCAAGCAGCACAGGGCTTAGTGGACTAAGGTTTTTCTGACACAAATCCCACCACACCTCTAGGCACAGACTCGGTTTAATGGGGGAAGAGGGGGTGTTAAGACTCAGATCGACCTGGGTTCAAATTCCAATCCAAGCATTAATCTCTGTGTAACTTTTCTCCTCTCTGTACAATAAAGGTTAAAAAAACAAAACAAACAAAAAGCAAACCCTACCTCACCAAAGATTAGAGATGATGTAGGCAAAAATGTATAGAATAACACCTGGTACTAGTAGGCACTTCATAAATGCTCATTCCCCTCCCCCTTCCTTTGTCAAATGAAAGCCCAAGTATGTTTTCACCACCAGAATTGATAGCTCCTATTCTATACTTACATAATTGCTGTCCTGAACTTAAATGCAGGATTTTACAAATAAATCTATTAGATTTCTTCTTGAGGAAAGTATTCACCTTGCTAGATAGCAAGTAATTTAAAAAATATATATATTTCTATTGATTTTTTACAGAGAGAAAGGGAGAGGGAAAGTTAGAAGCATCAATGAGAGAGAAACATCAATTAGCTGCTTCCTGCACCCTCCCCCCCCCCCCCCCCACTGGGGATGTGCCCACAACCAAGGTACATGCCCTTCACCGGAATCGAACCTGGGACCCTTCAGTCTGCAGGCCAACGCTCTATCCACTGAGCCAAACCGATTTTGGCTAGATGGCAAGTAGTTTTTAATGGCTAAAAGTTGAAAACAATTTTTAAAAGTGCAGCAGGGTACAGTTAAATAAATTAAGGGACATTCTGCCTGGCCAAGTGTGGCTCAGTGGTTGAGCATTGACCCATGAACCAGGAAGTCACAGTTCAGGACACATGCCTGAGTTGTGGACTCAATCCCCAGTTGGGGGGTGTACAGGAGGCAGCCAATCAATGATTCTCTCTCCTCAATGTTTCTATCTCTCTCCCCCTCTCCCTTCATTCTCTGAGAGAATGGCAGGTTTGTGTTAAAAAATAAATTTTAAAAATTAAGGGGCATTCATATAATGTAATATTATTAAGACCCTTCAAATTATGGTTTTAAGTGATTTTTTATGACATGGGGTAATGCTCACTGATAGCATTCAGCAGGAAGAAAGGAGCATAACTGTAATTATTTAAAATATATAGTTTGCATGAACACAAATCTGGAGAGACCTATACCAAAATACGAACTGTGCCCATCCCTAAGTTGTGGTACTACGCACGGTTTTGTTTCTCTTTTAACAAATAACGGTTTTCTACAATGAGCATGTGAGTTTTAACAGGCAACATGTTTTTTAATTTCATATTTCTGCTTAATTCCTGCATTCTAGTCCATTAAGATTATTTAGCATCCTGCTTGCTGCCTTAAACAGAATCCATAAAGGATGAGAGAAGACAGCTCTGGGACATATTGCTGGAGACCTCTCCCGGGGTGATGTGAGCTCCATTCAGTGCCCAGGGCAACCTTTCAACCAGGTGCAGATCCACTGCACTGCTGTACCAGCCAGATCACACTTCCTTCTCTCAAACCCAAGAAAATCATTAGACTCAAAGTTCTTACTGAACATTCCTCCATCCAAACTATATTCTTTCCCAAGACTTGATCGAGTGACCATGCGGTGGCTATCAGTTACCTCACCTTCATTTAGAAGCCCCCATAGATTTTCTGTTCAAATATCTGCCCTGGAATTTGGGGGATCAACAAGAAGCCTAGCAGCCTGCCATTTCCAGGATCCCCATCTTGCTACGTTGAAGAAATAAATCAGTGCGGCATTTGTTCTTTTGCCAGTCTTACCTCCTTCCAAACCCTGGAGTGATGCCGCGGTCACTCCTCCAGCTTCTCGGGACCCCAAAAGCCTGATCTGTAAGAGTCTGGCAACCTGAACTCAGGAAAAGCAAAAGCAGCTCAGTGTGGTCTGATCCTCTTTTCTCCCACAGTCCTCCTTAACCTTTTCACAAAGTCTGTTCTGCCCTCACAAAGATCCAGGCAAGATAAGAGACTCTGCCTCCCAGAACATTCCACCACCTGCTTCAAGCAGGAATCTCCCCTGACTGTCTTGTGCCTTCTTACTCTGCCTTTGCCTTAAAAAAATAAATAAATAAATAAATAAATTAAAAAAATCCCTTTATGTTGTCCAGCTGATTCAGGCCTGCTGCTTCCCCACCCAGAGCTCTGCCCACTGCACACACCGCCTCCCCAGTCAACTATTACTCAAGGCTCAACGCCAAGATGGAGATCATCCAGGAAGAAACAAAAGTAGCCTTTAATCCAGCCAGAAGATTCACGCAGACATCTCCAGGGGCTTGAGGGGAAGGGGAAGACCTGGCTCTGGCAGGGCTGAGCTGGGCAAGGGGAGGCTGGCAGTTATCACACACAAAGCCCTTGTTAGTGAGACACAAAGCAGAAAGCCCCGCCAAGCCGTGGGCTCTACGCAGCTCCGGTTTCACTGAGTCAACTGCCCCCTTCGGAGGAGAGGCCCACCCCGTGTGTCATCAGCCCCTCCCCGGTGCCCTTTGCACTGATCCCAACACCCTGTCCTTCCTTTCGGGGCCGGATATGCAATCCCATCCCCCAGGAGGGTCACCCAGCCTTCGCACAGCTCCCATTTCCTGCCCCTGGTGACTCCTCTGAAGTCTATTGTTCCCATGAAGTTTGGGTCAAAGGAAGTTGCGTTCCCACCCAGGGGGGCCCGCCTACCCTCGGCACCGCCTAGGAGCTGGCCCACCCTCCGGCCTTCCCGAGAGCCTGCCAGTGCTAAAGCCTGGGGCGTGGGCACGGATCGTAGGGGCTGGCGTTTTGTTGGGAAAGCTCCCAAAGATCCTGCTGAAGACTCCGTGGCCATGTCACCCAGAGGATTAAAATCTCCCCAGTATCTAAATGGAAAACCCAAAAGTAAGGGAAGAACTGTCATTTCAGAGGAGGTCAAAACAAAGCTGGAATTAAAACAGGAGAGTTGGTGCCGTGGCTGGTGTTGCTCAGTCGTTGAAGCGTGGGCCCACGCAGGGTCACGAGTTGAATTCCCAGTCAAGGGCATGTACCTGGGTTACAGGTTCAATCCCTGGTCCGAGTCAGGGCTCCTGTGAATGGCAACCGATTGATGATCTATGTGTCTCTCCCACATTGACATCTCTCTCTCTCTCTCCCTCTCTTTTCCTCCTTCTCCCTCTCTCTCTCTCTCTCTTTATGTCTCTGTCTCTACCCCTTCCCTCCCTCCTACTCACCCTCTCTCCCTTCCACTCTGTTAAAAAAAAAAATCAATTTAAAAAAAAATCCCCAGGTATGGATTATCAAAAAAATATTTTTTTAATAAATAAAATAAAACATAGGAGCCAGAGACTGTGCGGCCAGGGACAAGGCCCTGCCCCCACCTCCACCTGGGCCCCAGAGCGGATAGTGAGGGGGAAAGGGGGGCGGAGAGCAGCTGCTCAGCTACAATTTCAGGCTTTAAAGGGAGCTCTCCTCCCAACCCCTGCCAACAAAGGTCACGGAGTGCAGAGGCAGACGGGCTAGGGAGCCATCCCTACAGTCCTGCATTTCCCGGACGGACTGACCAGCGGAGCAAAGTGGTGGCCCGTGTCCTTCGCCTCCACCAGAGGAGAGAAGCCACAGACGAGGCAGAAGGCACTGCTCTGTGACAGTCACTAGCACAAGCCTCCAGAGTGGAAACCACAGGAGCCGGCGATAATCCGCACCCCAGGAGCCCTCAGAGAGATAGAGACCAGCGAGGGGAATGGGGGGTGCGTATTACAGACCTCTTTAAGGGCCCTTTCCAGAGGTGGCGTCCTCAGGTTCCACAGTTCTGTGCTTTCTGCTGGTTTGGAGGGGAGTGTTTCTGCCTCCTGACAACCTTATCTGAGCCACAAGATGACAAACGTCCCCCAAGTCAAACTGTTGTGGCTCCTCCCCCCTCCGCCCCTGTAAGATGAAGGTGACTGGGGGTCTGAGCTTTGGGATCCATAGAGCAAAAGACAGAATGCAAAGTGAAAACAGTGGGTTCTAGTCCCAGGTCTGCAACTTATTGGCTGTGCAACTGTAAGCAAGATACTGACCCTCTAGGGACCTCAGTTTCCCTGTTGTTATTTTTATAAAATACGTCTTTATTGATTTCAGAGAGTAAGGAAGAGGGAGAGAAAGAAACATCAATGATGAGAGCATCATGGATCAGCTGCCTCTTGCACACAAACCCCCACTAGGGACCAAGCCCACAACCCTGACATGTGCTCTGCCCAGCATCTTACAGGGACCCCCTGGTTCACACATCAACACTCAAGGACTGCCAGGCCAGCTTCCCTGTCTTCAATATGAGGGAGCTCAATGCTGACATCAGAGTGCCCAATAACGGTCAACAGATTTACCCTGCAGTCAAGGCAAAACTGGAATCAGAACACAGGGCGAGGAGGCAGAAGCACCTGTGACGAAGCCTGTCCCCCCTGCACCTGGCCCACAAGCTTTCCTGATTCCTAGGGATGAAGGGCATGGTACAGGGCCTGCCTGGCCTGTGGTAAATGCTCCATTCAGGTCTGCAAAATAAACATGAGTGAACAGGGAAGGGTCTAGCAAAGGATGTTCAGAGAAGGCCCCAGGAAAAAAGAGCTTGGGGAGCATGGGGAGCATGGGGAGCATAAGCTTGGGGAGCATGGGCCACTGAGTCCCCAGGAAAGGCCACACACTGTGCTAGGTACTCTGCAAACACTGAAATCTCACAACCAACTTTTTGGATGTATATCAACTAACCCTCTCCCATATTGCTCATCAGAAAACAACCTGAGAGTCTCAAACATAGTGAGGCAATGGCCAGCGTGGTACACAGGTACGTCTGACCACAAAGCCTGTACCCTTCCCACACTGTCACTGCTGCCTCCAGGCCACACACCCTTGAAGCCCTGCCACACACCCGGCCTAAAGAAGGTAAGAGTGAGGAGGGTCCCACCAGCACGTTTGCATCCTCGGGGTACATGGAGGAGCAGTGGCCAGAGTTCCCACCCCAATGAGTGTCTCCCCTTCCTTCCTTCCTTCCTTCCTTCCTTCCTTCCTTCCTTCCTTCCTCCCTCCCTCCCTTCCTCCCTCCCTCCCTCCCTCCCTCCCTCCTTCCCTTCTCTCCCCTTCCCTCCCCTCCCCTCCCCTTCCCTTCCAAGAAACCCTAAAAAATATGCCCACATCACCATGTTGTGGGAATGCAGACCCCTGAGACATGTTGTGGGAATGCAGTCTGCCTGTGTGCCCTAACCCCCACCCCACATACTGTGTTACTTCCCCTACCCAGTTCACTCCTTGAAACGGTTTCTGATAGTAAAGCTCCAGATGGAGAGAAAACTGAAAGGAAAGCAGAAAGAGATGAGGCAACTGAGACACCCAGGGGGGTCTCCTCCTGCGAAACTAGCAAATCTCAGGCAGCCCTTCCCTCCCAGCTGGCACCGCAGCATTCCCCGAATGTGCTATCATTCTCCTCGCCACAGGAAAGTGTAGGATGGTCACTCTAGAGCGTTGTAAAGAATTAAGGGTTTATCCATTTGACTGCATGGGCAGCTCCAAGGAGAACTGGACCAAGAGAAAGTAGTTGTGGCAGGCATACACGGATTCCTCTTTGTCCTTGGGGCCAACTTCAAAAGTGATGTCCATACAAGTCTCCACATTGAAATGGTCTCCTCCCCATAACCTTCCCCTACTCTAATGATCAATAACCCATCCCATCCACAAGCGACAGAGATCTCAACTTCCTTTGGTTTTCCGCCAACTTTTTCTCTACTGTTCCAGGCCAGGACAGAACCCAGTCCCCCTCAGAAAGGCAGCTTCCTTCCAGCTCTGCCCGGTCCAGGCGAACGGTGCCTGGGGCCACAAGCTCCAACAATCAGAGACACTGTCTCTGGCCGCACGGAGGAAGCACAGTCATGCCCCAAACCAACATCCTCACGGAAAAAGACACACTTAGAAGAAACACACAGTACTCGGGCACTCACACTTTCAGACAGACAGCACTTTTCTCAAGTGGAAATATATTCAAACAAATACATCAACGATGACAAATCGACTCATGTGAAAGATACCACCCTCACATACACGCAAAACTAAGAAGACAGGACAGCCAGACTACTCCACATGCGCTCACCAGAACTCCCTTCACCCATCCGTGCACAGGGAGGGTGTTCCTGAGAAATGTTTGCTTTGAGGCTTGGGAGCCTCCAGTCCCCATCAGGGGCGCAACAGGCTTCTCAGCCCTGGAGAGCAGGGACCTCAGTGCGGGTTTGCTCTCCCAGGGCTTAGCCCACACCAACCAGCACGCCTACCTCCAGAAGGACCCGGCGGGACAGGAGGCGTGGATGCCGGGCCTCTCCCATCGCTGGGCTCTCAGTTCTGCCTCTGGTCTGTTCAGCTCCCCATGCTCCCCTTTCCCCAGCGCCCCTCCGCCCAGCCCGACCCTGCCGCCCGCGGAGCCTCCACGTGCCGCTCCCTCCCCGGTCCATCCGGGGCGGAGCGCCCCGAGCCCCTCATCCCGAAGCCGCCCGCAGGGCCCGGGCTGACCCCCTCCCGCCCCGCGCCTCACCGGGTCCGGAGGGAGGGGGTGCGGCGGCCGCGCTCAGCCAGCTCCCCGGAGTCCGTCCCGCGCGCCCACTCTGGAAGCCGCGGCCCCGCCGTGTTCCCGAGCGCGCGGCGCTGGCTCTGCGGGCGGGAGGGGGCAGCGCGGGGACCGGCCCCCGCCCGGAGGCCGCCCCGCGGGGCGGGGAGGAGGCGGGGCCCGAGGCGGGCCGCCCGGCGCTTCGGAGTCCGGCCGCCGCCCCCCAGCGGCCCGCGGTGCTGCGCGGAGGGAGGAGTTTTCCCACAAGCGGCTGCCGGGAAGCGCCGGGAAGCGCCGGGACCCCGGCTCCAGGCGGTGAGTCAACGGCGCAGAGGAAGGAGCCGGGGCCGGGGCCGGAGGGGCGGGTGGGGGACCAGGAGCGGGTCGGGCCGCCAAGGGAGCGGGGAAGAGGTGGCGGGGCCCGCGGGAGCCCGGAGCGGGAAGGGGCGGGCAGGGGAGCGGAGCGCACGGCGGGGCGCGGCGACCCGCACTCACCTGGGGACCGGCGGCAGCGCCGGGGCCGGAGCGGGGCCTCCCTCCCTCCCTCCCTCCCGCCGCCGGGGCCGGAGGAGGAGCTGGAATGCGCGGAATGCGGGCCGGTGTGGATGCGCAGCTGTGGACGGGGCCGGAGGGAGTGGCGGCCGGGCCCCTCGGGGTGGAGTCCCGGACGTGGGCCCGCGGGGGAGGGCGCCGGGCGGGAGGGGGCGGAGGGCGCGGAGCTGGCGCGCCGACCCCCAACTTTGACCTCAGTTTCTGGATCCGGCCTCCGGCCTCCGCCGCTCCCGCCCACGGCGCTCCCTTTGATCTCCCGCCCGGACCCTCCCTCCTCCGCAGGCCCCCGCTCCAGCCCCTCCGGGCCGAGCGGCCGGCTCCGTCTCTGGAGCTGAAAACCTTCCTCTTAGCCGGAGCGGGGATGGCTAGTGGGAGAGACGGGGTCGGGCTGCGCGACTGGCCACGCGCTTCGCAGCCGGCACCTCCGCGCTGCGGACGCCCCTCCGCACGGGGCCGGAGGGCGGGCTGCGGGCGCGGGAAGGGCTGCTCCTGCCCTGCGGCTCCCACTGGGGACGTTCGCTCCGGGGAACCAGGAAGCAGGAATTCCGGGCTCCAGTTCCAGGCCAGTGGCCCGCGCGTGCCCTCCCGGCATTAGTCCAGTCTTTCTCTTTTATCCCTCGCACACCTGCAGAGTTGTCACTACGAAGAGTAATGAGTAACTCAGTATTTATTCAACAGGTATAATGTGTCCACCAGATGCTGTGAAAACAACGAAGGATAGGACCTCACCACCAACCCTCGAAGAACTTATCCTTTAGCCGGGAAGAACACTGTCGTAACGTGGGAGTCTGGGTTTTAAACAAACACACCAGAACAATTTAGTATCGAGAGATGCTGGAACCCCCTGTTTGGCAGTCTTCAGAACACTTTGGTTTAGAGTAATGTGTTATCACATACCTCTGTCTTATACCTTGTTGGGAGTGTGAAACCAAAGGAGTTTTGGCTTTTCCAAAAATCAAATCCAACCTTTTAGGGCTGTTGTCACTTAGCTTTGAACTTCAGTGGTTGTCCAGATCTTATCTCCCTCATCAAACAGAAACTTCCTTGAAGACCGAGTAAATGTCTGATTTATCTCTCACCCTGCACCAGCTTGGTGTCTGTGATGGATAAGTACATGAAAAATACTGAAAAAAATGACAAATGCTGTCACAGAGGATATTGAAAAGAAGGTGCTGTAAGTGCCAAAGTTGTTTCTACAGGAAGTATTCCAAAGATGTTTTGAACCATGAAAGCATCACTGGAGGAAGTATCCAATCTCATAAGGGAAGAGTGAAGGCAGCAGCTCATTAGCATATACAAATTCTGGTATGCTTGTTAAACGGTGAGTCACAGGAGGACCTGGCCACGCCTCATACACATGAAAAGATTGCGATAGAGGACAGTATATAAGCATTAGCCCTTTAATAATCATTTGTTGAGTGTCTGTTGACTGAGCACCATGCTAAGTGCAGGAGTGGGTCCCTGCCCTGCCCCTAAGAAGTTTACAATCTAGGTATGAAGATGAGACAATTATAAAGTTATAAATGGAAAGCCAAAGTAAGAAACACTGAAATTCAAGTTAGAGTGGACATTAATCTAGTTCTTGAAGGATAAATGAGAATTTACCAAATTAAGACTGGAATACTGCCTGGCCTGTGTGGCACAGTGGTTGTCAAACTATGAACCAGGAGGTCATGGTTCGATTCCCAGTTAGTATACATACCCACGTTTCCGGCTGGATCCCCAGTGGCAGGAGGTAGCTCAGCAGGAGGCAACTGATCAATGATTCCCTCTCATTGTTGATGTTTCTATCCCTCTCTCCTTTCTTCCAGAAATGAATAAAAATTAAAATAAAAATTAAAAACTTACTAAAATAACCACAAAGGGTACAGAGGGGTGATTAGGAGAAGTCTTGTAAACTAGTGGGCTAGAGAATAGGAGCTGGGGAGAATAGGTTACGGTAAGTGGGTGCCATGTTGTGAAGATGATTGGATTCCATGCTGTAGAGTTTGGGTATCATAAGGCCCTTTACACACAGGTGTGACATAACCAGTACCAACATCAGAAAGACCACCTCCCCTCTGGCAACAGTGTCAGGGCTGGATTGGATAATCTGATGCCTTAAACCCAGGCAGAGGTCCTGAGGCTGATGTGGGTAAGGGTGTAGGAAATAGACCAGAGGTGAAATAAACAAGAACAAGTGGGCTGTGAGGGTGAGAGAAGAAACAAAAATCCCTGAATTTTGACAACTGAACTATTGGTCGTACCATCAACTGAGACAATTCAAATGAGGAGAGACAGGGTGAGGTGGTAGGTGGGTCCAGCCAGGTTCAGAGGATTGTTGGGAAGGCAGGACAGAGCCTAGGGTGGAGACAGAACCACCTTTGAATGTCACTTCAGCATTGACTACTGAGAGGAAATTTGGAGATCAGACTAAATTATTCCCTTCAAATTTTAACTGCCAAGACTGTAACTGATGCTAGCTGCAATGATGTGTCCTCAGGACTTCAGCCTCCGGGTCTATACCATTACAGGCTTCTAGAGAGCTCTGTGCTTTCAGAAATGGCATATTCCCAAGTTGTTGAGGTTTCTCTGGGTAAAGGAAAGTTCTTAGATGTAGAAATTGTGTAGGGCGAAAGACTGACCGATTTTATACTGATTTTTATGTCCTGCCCTTACTAGGGGTATTTACCTTTAATAGATAGGACTTTTGTTCCTTGATACCAGGAATGAATCTGTTGGTGGAAATATTTCCTCTCTCTGGATCCAGCTCAAAGAGATGCATATGACTATCCTCAAATTACAACACAGTCCATAGCTCCCCTCACTTCTTAGTGATCCGGGCCACCTAGACCTCACCCAGGCTTGCTGAAGAGTGGTGCAGAAAGAGGTAGGTATGGTCAGAGCCCCTCTTGATGTAGGGTGGGTATCTGTGTTGTCTCTACTCCAAAATGAAAGTCAAAAATCATATTATTATGTTGTTTGGTATAATTTGCATTTCTTTAATAAATTTTGTTTTTCCAATCTCTGTGGTCACAATTACACAAAATATCCTTATGATACTGTGTTAATCAAATTCAATCACATCTATACCCTGGCCGGTTTGACTTGGTTGAGCATCATCCCATGTACTGAGACGTTGCAAGTTTGATGCCCAGTCAGGGCACATGCCTAGGTTGTGGGCTCATGCAGGAGGCAACCAGTCAGTGTTCCTCCCTCCCTCCCTCCCTCCCTCCCTTTCTCCCTCCCTCCCTCTCTCTCTCTCTCTCTCTCTCTCTCTCTCAAAATATCAGTAAAAACACATTTTTAAAAATTCAACCACATCTATGTGATGAAATAAATTCTTTACAGCTATTAATAACCATGTTTTTTAATAAAACTGTGGAGATGTTGAGCAGGTAGGTAGATGACACTTGCAGAGCTAAGGAAAGAATTTCAGACTGTGGGAGATGTCAAATGTAAAATGGGAGTTATTCAGTATGAAGAGTGAAAAAGATTAAAACAACATGGGTCCCTGAAATACTGTATATACTCAAAACATGTTGATAAAATTTCTTAATGTGCAATTTTTCCGTGTATAGGGAACTAGTTAAAAACACAATGGTGTTCCCCACCCATGTAGCTCAATTGGTTAGAGCATTGGCCTGATATGACAAGGTTACAGGTTTGATCCCAGGTCGAGGCACATATAAGAATCAACCAAGGGGAATGGTAAGATATGTACACAGATAATAATAAAAAAGGATCAACCAATAAGCCCTGGCCTGTGTAGCTCAGTTGGTTGGAGCATCATCCATGCTCTGAAAGGCTGCCAGTTCAATTCTTGGTCAGAACACATACCAAGGTTGCAGGTTCGATCCCTGGTCAAGATTGGTTTGGGAGGCAACCAATAGATGTTTCTCAAATCAATGTGTCTCTTTCCCTTCTCTCTGTCCAGTATCAATACAAACATATCCTTGGTGAGGATATTTTAAAGTAGCAATAATATTTTTAAAAATAACTAAAAAAGGAACTAAAAAGAATCAATTAATGAATACATAAATAAGTAGAACAAAATCATTGTTTCTTCTTTGCTCTCTAAAATCATTAAATAAAAACCACTATGCAACTTCCCACAATGAAATACTATGGAGGATAAGCAAGTATGAGGAAGGGCTGCATTTATTGACATGAGAATTATCTCCAGGATATAACAAAACTGAAAAAGCAAGCTACTGAACAGAGAAGATAATGTGCTACCTTTTGTGCACAAAGGATAGGAAATTACAAATATGTTTTTATTTTTGCATAAAGAAAATGGAAAGAAACACTGGAAAGAAACTAAAAGTGATTAACTTGGAGTAGGACAGGGCAAGGGAAATAAGAGGGGACAGATATGGAACAAGGCTTTATTTATTTTTTAATATATTTTATTAATTTTTTACAGAGAGGAAGAGAGAGGGATAGAGAGTTAGAAACATCGATGAGAGAGAAACATCGATCAGCTGTCTCCCGCACACCCCCCACTGGGGATGTGCCCGCAACCAAGGTACATGCCCTTGACCGGAATCAAACCCAGGATCTTTCAGTCCACAGGCCGACGCTCTATCCACTGGGCCATACCGATTTCAGCAGCAAGGCTTTATATAGTCTTTAAACTTTGTTTGCTTTGTTGTTTTAAGTATATTTTTATTGATTTCAAAGAGGAAAAGAGAGGGAGAAACAGAAACATCAATGATGAGAGAAAAAATATTGACTGGCCACCTCTTGCATGCCTGAGCCCCTCCACACTGGGGATGAGCCCACAACCCGGGCATGTACCCTTGACCAGAATCAAATCTGGGACCCTTCAGTCTACAGGCCAACGCTCTATCCACTGAGCCAAACCACTAGGGCATTGCTTGTTGTTTTTAAAAATACGTTTTTATTGATTTTGAGAGAGAGGAAGAAAGAATCATGGAAGAGAACCATCATCAATCAGCTGCCTTGTACACGCCCCCTACTGGGAATTGAGCCAGCCCTGACTGAAATTCAAACCAGCGAGCTCCCAGTGCACAAGATGATACTCCACCAATTGTGCCACATCGGCCAGGCAAGTAATTTTTTAATCCTCACTGTAGGATATGCTTTTCATTGACTTGAAATAGAGAGGAAAGAAGAGGTAGAAGGAGAGAGAAACATTGATGTGAGAGAGAAGCATTGATTAGTTGCCTCCCAAATGAATTGGGGATGGGACCCACAACCCGTGTTTGTGCCCTTACCAGGAATTGAACCAGGAATCAAACCTATGACCCTCAGTGCATGGGATGATGTTCTAATCAACTGAGCCACACCGGCCAGGGAGTCCTTACATTTTTTAATTTATTATTATTTAAAATTTATAGCTATATATCTGATACATAAGACTCACCGAAAGCAAAATCATTACTTTTTAAAAAATATTTGTTATCTTACAGATTAGTTTGCCCAGAGCAATCCTTACCCTAGAAATTGCATTTAGACTCCACTTTAAAAAAATCTTGGTCCAATTCCTAGCTCTCACCTGCCTGTCACCCTCCTTTCCTCTCAGACCATTCTTCCTAACTTTCTTGCCCCAAGACTACAGAGGAGAGAGAACTAATGGGTTATTATACTCAGAGTCCTTGAAAATCCTAAGAAACAGAACCTGAGAAGATAGTGCTTAACTACATGTTAAAATCTCAAGGCTTGTCCTGGCCAGTCTGGCTCAGTGGACAGAGTGTCAGCCTGCAGACTGAAAGGTCCCAGGCTTAAGTCTGGTCAAGGGTACATGCTTGGATTGTGGGCTCAATCCCCAGTAGGGGGCATGCAGGCGGCAGCCAATCAATGATTCTCATCATTGATGTTTTCTCTCCCTTCCTCTCTGAAATCAATAAAAAATATATTTTTAAAAAACAACAAGGCTTAAGAACCACTGTTAAACCGAAATGTGCAGTAAAAGGTGGCAACTTGACTGGGAGCACTCCCACTGCCACTCCCATTCCTTCCCCCCGTGTGCGCGCCCCCCCCCCCCCCCCCCCCCCGGCTGTACCCTCTGTGTAATCCACTCTCTTTACTTGCACTCCGACACTTGGGTCACAGCCAGACCCAAAGGCAACATGCAAAGGAGCTTAGACCTGATGGACCGAAAGACTAGGCAGACCCAGAATAAGTCAGAGACACCCATTTCATATTTTTAAAACTTCCATTAACATCAGGGATATTTTGGCCAAGGCTGTTCCTTTAAGTAGAAATGGAGAGATGGTACAGAGTAAGGAATGTAGGGTAGGATCAGAACTGAGACTTGAACATGGATATTTATCCAGAAAAAAATGTTTTTCATTCTTCTCAACATAGTCCCTGGAAAACCATCTAGAATTGTTTTATGAGAATTTATAAATTATTTTATGTAATTGGATGGCTAAAAAAATCAACTGAGATGCACTGTTTTATTTTAAAAGAACATGAATAAACATATTTGTCACCATCCTATTGTGCCAGATCCCAGGCATTTTACCTGGACTACCTCAACTGGTTTCTACACTCCAGAAATATTACTTTCTCCATCCTTCAGAAAAGAGTCATGCCATAGCACAACTCTAGTGGAAACATTGTAAGGTCCAGTCGTTGAAGATTGTTCGGCTTGGGTTGCAGAATCTGTGCTATTCACTTTAATGCAATTGTAATGTGCATCCTTGGCCAGTAGGTGGTGCCATGAAACCATATGTGACATAATTAGGGCTTGTTCTGACAGCATCAATGGCAAATCCTGCATTTACAGTAGCGTCTTCTGTGGAGAGGAATTATGCGTTAGTCTATAAAAAAGACTGAAAGACTTTTAAAGAATATACACTGACTATGATAACTAGGAAACCAAAGTAGGGAGAGGAGACAAAAAAATCCAACATGCAGTTGGTCAAGAAACGTGTTATGACAGGTGGACGGAATCTGGTCCCTCTTTGGCAAGCCCTTAGCTAGGGTCCACATGTGGAAATTTAAAAGAAGACTATAGACTGGAAAGAAGAGAGATGGCATGAGTACACAGGTGGGAGCCGTTCTGTCCAGAGGGGGAGCTGAAGCTGAGAAGGGCAGCTTGCAGCATCCCAGAGTTTTCTCCATGGAGCAAGAGGTCTCCAGTGATTGAGGAAAAGCAGCTTTAAGGTCCTACCCTTCCTCAGCGTAAGATTATACTTCTCCCACGTCGTGCACACCCACCATTCCGGAATCTCCCCTCTGGTTCCTTAACTCAAGCACACAGTCTTTTCCTAAGCAGTGTCTTCAGCCATGAACAACTTGTAGCTCTCCAGAAGGTACCCAGAGATCAATTCAAAACATATTTATGGAAATTCCAGACTGTTGCCAGCATGAGTGGGGAGAACCATGGCATTCAAAAATTGAAGATCATGTAATTCAAACTCTCAATTGACAGATGAGGAAAGGGGCATATAACACTGGTATGAAAAAAGGCCAGAACCCAGGGATTTTTGCCTCAGTTGACCCATCACTTCATTTCTGCACCTGTAATGCTATCTAAAGCAGTGGCCACCAGCCGGTGGTCCATGAGGCCTGAAAGGTTGGCAATCGCTCATATAAAGGAAGCAAATTGATGCTAGTTTCTTTTTTTTATTGATTTCAGAGAGGAAGAGATAGAAACATCAGTGATGAGAGAATCATCGATTGGCTGCCTCCTGCATGCTCCACAGTGGGGATCAAGCCCACAATCCAGGCATGTGCCTTAACCAGGAATCGAACCATGACCTCCTGTTCTAAGTCAGTGCTCAACCTGTGATCCACACCAGCCAGGCAATACTAGCTTCTTTTGATTCACTAAATTTCTGATCAAAAAAGAACCTTTTGCAGGCCTGTTTTAGATTTTTAAATAACATTTGCTGATAGCTTTCATGTCAATAATCACTGATATTTCCGGTCATTGAAAATATATAAAACTGGTCCAGCTGGTATGGCTCAGTGGTTGAGCATTGATCCATGAACCAAAAAGTCCTCAGTTTGATTACCAGTGAGGGCACATGCCTGAGCTGCAGGCTCATTCCTCAGTGGGTAGTGTGTAGGAGCCAGCCAGTGGATGTTTCTCTCTCATCGATTTTTCTATCTCTCCCCTCCCTTCCTTCCCACCCCCTTTTTAAAAAAATATATTCTTATTGATTTCAGAGAGGAAGACAGAAACATAGATGATGAGTTATTGATCAGCTGCCTCCTGCACACCCCACACTGGGGATAGAGCCCGTAACCCAGGCTTGTGCCCTCACCTGGACTCAAATTATGACCTCCTGCTTCATAGGCTGATGCTCATCCACTGAGCCATGCTGGCTGGGCCCTTCCTCTCTCTTTAAAATTTCTAAAACCACGTATTTTGTATTTTTTTTAAAATTTTTATTATTTTTTAATATATTTTATTGATTTTTTACGGAAGATAGTTAGAAATGTCGATGAAAGAGAAATATCGACCAGCTGCCTCTTGCCCGCAACCAAGATACATACCCTTGACCGGAACCGAACCTGGGACCTTTTCAGTCCACAGACCAACGCTCTACTACTGAGCCAAACTGGTTTCAGCAACATATGTATTTTTTAAAGTATATAAAACTGGCCTGACTCTATGAGTGCTTATAGTGATGCTTCCTTGAAGATTAGTCCACTATTGCCAAGTGATGAAATGTATTATTACAAAACATGAAAGAAGGAATGGATGGGACTTTGAAAAGAAGAATGGCAACACCTAGTTTTTATATAAATTATTTATTTCTATAGCATATAAAAGGTATAAATATGTCTTATGTAAAACAAATCACCTACACATTCAAGCAGCAAGTACATGAAGCTGGGATATATTAATAAATCTCTTAGCCAGAGTGAGCAGGAAGAAGCAGGGTTAGATCTGGTCAGGCCATGAGACTCCCTTCTCCAGATGTTGTCAATTACTGCATCCAGAGATAAGTGAACAGCTTTGTTTTCAAGGAGAGCAGCTCATTCGACAGTACATGAGGAAGGTGGTGCCAGAGGTCTGAAGGGGCTTTGGGCACTTCTATGAAGGAGGCACTTGATGGGAAGCAGGCATGCCTGAGATAGAAACCAATCTTGTCAAAACACGGCAAGGACTTTCCAGCGGGGGACAAGGGCCTTTTCATCTCCCAGACTCCTGTTTTCACACTGCTGTTTGATGTGGTACACAGGGCAACAGGAAGCAAAGGCAAAAAGGAAGTCCACAGAAGGGAATCAGAATGGCACAACAGCCACTGATTCCTTGCCCCCTGCTGGCAAACACCTAAATGCACAAAGACTTGGGAGCCGAGCAATACTGAATACAGACCTCACACAGGTACTGGGTTCAGATACACTCTGAGACCGGCAAGCTGGCAGCAGAGTCATGCTCTGTTGGGAGGTGCTAATAACCTGAACAACTTAGCAAAACTCAGGATCTCTGAGGAAGAGTGACAAGAGCTTGATCTGTACCAGTGAACTGTGCTTTAGGGTGCTGATAATTAATTAGTGTCAAGAAGAAAGGCCGAAAGTGCTGCCCAACAAGGTCCGCAGAGCTCACAGTCAGCTGGCTAGTCCTCACCAAGCCTCGCCTGCCCCCTCCCTTGACAATGATAATGGAAGTTTTGATACATAATGATCTCTTACTTTTTACATGGTCTAAAGGCATGTGTGTCATCCTCTACTAATGTCTCCATAGTTATATAGCTGTGGGAGGCACTCCTGGATTGAAAGTGAAGGCAACTGTCAAATTACTCTGTCTTAATTAGACTAAATTACCTCTTAGGTTTTTGTTTTCAGTCTAAACTGAAATTAAGACAACTATATAAAATTCTCACATCATTGATCACAAATTTGGCCATCGCCACTCTGACCGAGATTGGTGCCAGCCAATCTGCTCTGAGGGAAGAAAGGGAAGAGGGGGACTGCAACATCAGGACCTCCAAGCATCATGGGGACTGTGAGGTAACTCTTAAGAAACAAGTACCACACTCCCTGTGATGAAGACAATGCAATTCTAGGCTAATTTCCTACTGTGCGTTAGCTCTTCAAGTGACTGGCAGTGCCTTGTCCCATGGGTGTGCCAGGTAGGATAGCAGAATTAAGCCACCTGTGTGGACAAAATCATCACGGACTTTGGGTTTCCCAGTTCTGATGGTAAATGATATCCTAGGAACCATCGTCACCAAAACAAGGTAATGCTTTGTAACAGTGAATGCAGTGGAGTGACTCTTTGGATCCAATCTGCTATTGCTTCCTAGAGATACCCATTTCACACTCATATCATCTCATGATGACAAGCTCATTGTGGAAATGCCCAAGTCCAGTGAGTACAGAGATACACTGGAAGCAGAGGTTGGGAAACTACAGCCTACAGGCCAAATCTGGCTGCTGCCTGTTTCACTGGAACATGGTCACACTCGCTCATGTATGAACAGACTAGGACTGCTTTTGCAATGACAGAACTGGGTAATTACAAGAGAGACTATTTGGTCGTTTATGGAAAACATTTGCAGACCTAGAGACTAAAGTGAATTTAGAAAACTGTCCCTTCTCTGAAAAGATCTTCAAAAGAGAGACACAAGCATCTAATTATTAGAACCTGATTCTAGTCACAAGTTTCCAAGCCCAGGAAATCCAACTTTCGAGGCACAGAATCTGTTAGGGGCAATAACCTCAGGAGTCAGAATGTGTTCTGGACAAGAACCTTCCTCTAGTTTGAATAATGTCTCACCTATATGTTAAACTGCACCCTTTGACCAGATCTGTGAAAGGCAGAAAGGTGTGTGTGTGTGTACATATGTATATATGTACATACATATACGTATAGCTACGTACATTCGGGGATTATTCCAAGAGGGACAGACTGTCTTTTTTTATGCCCTGGGCCAAGAGTCAGGGAGGCAATATCTGCTCCCGAAAGCTCTGTAGTGAGAAAGTCCAGCTGTGTATGTGCTTCCGTCTCATTCACACGCCAGCTTACTGTCAAAGCTAGAAAGCCCAATGGCGAAGGCCTGGAGTGCACACAGCGGGTAGTTGTAGTCCAGAGTGAACACATCGTCTGCCACACGTCCAAACTGCATGACAATATAGTCAGCTAGAAACAGAGAGAAAATATGATGTTAGAAGATAATGTGGTTGTACTGGGGAAAGCCTCCAAAGAGGTCAGTTAAGCAGCGGGTCTCTTTAAAATGGGCAGCTTTTAGAAGAATGGAAAGATTTATTAAAAAGAATATTTGCTAACCATGAGCAAAGTTTATGATTCCTCTCAACTACAGGGAAGGGGAGGCTCTTCCGGGCCAGATGAAAGGTAAAGAGGAGAGAAAAGTCGAGAGCAGCTGGCTGGGGACAGTACAAGCTCCATGAGCTAGAGCTGCCAGGAACCTTTACTAGGTAAGGGTCATTTGCATTTGCTTCTCCAACAGCCTCCTCTAGGACTTCTCTGGTTGGCCACAGGGAGAAATCTCGGCCACTCTTCAGCCCTCAACACAGTATTTCAAACGTTTTACTGTAACACTGTTGTAAATCGTTTCTTTCTTAGATAATTCTCTCCTGAATATAGGTTCCTATGAGTGACAGGAAATGTTCATTTCCCCATCGTGTAAGAATATCCTCCCTCCCATTTCCAACCAGCCCTTCCTGTGGCTTACGGTCATTTTCATGGACTATTTGAAAGTTCTTCACAGATGCCTGAGTGACCCGGCCGTGGAAGTTCAGGACATAGGACTGCGTGTCATCATTCCACACTGGGGCCTTGTTGTGCAGCTCAATCAAGTTCTCCATCGTTTTGTTTTGCCATTTTGAAAGCAAGCTCTCATGGTCCTGTTTGAAAGGAAAGTCATTACTCTGTACTAAGAACCGTAAGAAACAATTCGCTTGGAACTCTGACGGAGAAGGTGGACAGGGGACTATTTCCTCCATTTCAGGAAGGGTAAAGCAGAAACAAAGAAAGCCAAAATTTAAGCTGCTGTTGTTTTTTATTCTTAAAAATTAGCATCTGTCTTTGCAGATTAAGAGGTTGCAAATCAAGCACTCTAGCAATTGCTCTGCAATGTACTTCTCCTGAGGTTCTGGAATGAGGCTCTCCTAAAGAAGAGTATGAGGCCTGGCTGTTGTGGCTCAGTTAGTTGGAGCATTATCCCTGGCACCAAAAGGTCACCGATTCGATTCCTGGTCCGGGTACATGCTCAGATTGTGGGTTCAGACCCCAGTTGGGGTGCCTATGGGAGAACCAATCGATATTTCTCTCTGACATCAATGTTTATCTCCTCTCCCTTCCTCTCTCTAAAAAAAAAAAAATCAATTAAAATGTACAAATAAATTAACTAATTACATAAATAAGAGTATGAGCAATACTCCAGTTCTGGAAGAATCAATAATTTTTGGATTGACTCTTCTATATTGTAATCTTGTCTTTTAGAGTCCTTTGCTAATTAAATATATTCTTACATTTTGTGGCCGAAATGGGATCCGTTCGTGGTTCATATTCATCCCTGGAATGATCACAGACATCTTCCTAGGACCTTTAAATCCAAACACATTTGTCTCCTGGAAGACAGGTAAATAAGACAGAAATGAAAACAAGGCCACATTCTTCACACAAGACTCACTTGGGCATGTAAAATGCTGACAATATCAAGAAAGCTGCTTATTACTATAGTTTAAACAAAGAGATAGATAATCAAGACCAGGATCATAATTATTTTTCTCTTTTTAAAACCTAATTTGAACATTTCAATTTAAAATAGATTATGTTGGCTTGAAAATTTAACTTACTCTTTAATCTTAAATGAACTTTGGGACAACTGTGAGCAAACTGTCCAATTTTGTCATTGACATTTTTGTCCCAATGGGAGTATAGCACTATCTGATCTACAGTGAGAATTACACATAAATTAAATGGAGCCTGTGTCAGGAGGTAAAATCTCAAATGCCTGTCAAGCCAGGCAGATTATATGAATAAGCACATCAAATAGATGCATATATAATATGTTTGTGTGTATATTCATATACTTATGCACATGTACACACACTGAAGTCATGCACAGTCATGCACATTGACACTTTGGGATCAAGCAACAACTCTGAAAGGAGGCACCGGGTGCCATGCAGATGCATACAAAGGAATGTAAACCACATCCAGTGGTCAGGAAAGACTTCTCTGGTGCCATCAGTTGATATAGTAAAGGCAAGGAAGGGAAAAGGGAAGGCTCTCAGGAGAGGGAAGATTATATGGTGGATAAAACAGAAGAGCTGTGTAGACAGAATGATGGCAACAGGAAAGAGAGTACCACTAGGACAGTCAGAAAGGAAAGGCTAAAGTGTTAGGGCTTTATTCTGTACACAATGGGAAGTCATAGAAGATTTGAAACGAGAACTGCAGGATCAAGTGGAGTTCTGTTTTAGGAAGATTTATCTGACAGCAGTATAGAATAAACTAGATAGAAAAGACTAAAAGCAAAAGAGATCAGCTAAAACCGGTTTGGCTCTGGATAGAGCGTCGGCCTGCAGACTGAAGGGTCCCAGGTTCAATTCTGGTCAAGGGCATGTATCTTGGTTGTGGGCACATCCCCCGGAGGGGGTGTGCAGGAGGCAGCTGATCAATGTTGCTCTCTCATCGATGTTTCTAACTATCTCTCTCCCTTTCTCTCTGTAAAAAAAATCAATAAAATATATTTAAAAAAAGAGAGATCAATTTGTAATTTATTGTAGCCCCTGACCAATGGATTAAGAGGTCATAAAGGTCTGTGGTAATCTAATGGTATTAGGAAAAGAGAAGGCAAAACATTAACACAGTAAAAGAATAAATGAACTTGGCAATCTAACCTAATAATAGAGCAATATGCAAATTAGCCATCACTCCACTACACAAACCACACCCACCAGCCAATCAGAATGAGTATGCAAATTAACCTGACAAAGATGGTGGTTAATTTGCATATGTGGAGGGAGGGAGGAGTGAAGACTGAAAACAACATAGAAGGAGGGAAAGTGGAAAGTAAGGCAGCTGCAGCTGCTGGAGGGAAAGCATTGGCAGTGCGCGTGGGGCAGGGTGGAGCGAGGTGTGCAGTAGCAGCGAGTGCACATGTGTGGCTGTGGAGGCGCAGCTGCAGAGGCAGTGGGGGGCGAGACAGCAGCAGGCGCAGCTGCAGAGGCAGTGGGGGGCAAGGCGCAAAGCAGTGTTGACAGCACGTGTGCGGCTCAGGAGATGGTGGTGGAGGTGCTGCGGGCCCGCCCTGCCAAGCCTCCAGCAGCAGGAGAGGTGGGAGGGGGGGAGGGAAGCCCGCCGGAAGTTTTGCAGGAATATTCCTGGAACAGGTGCCTAGTTCATAAATCAACTTGAATAAAGAAAATGACTCCAGTAACAGAAAAGAGGACCACAGAAATAGAAACAAGCTTGGGAGGGAAGATTATGAGTTCAGTATAGGTTAAGTTCAGTGTAAGTCCAACAGGACATCAGGAAATTAAGGAAAAGAGTACATTCTGAGGACAGCACTTACATAACAGATGGCTGCCAGCTCCTGCCGGCTATGGGCCTTTTCTTGGGCCTTGGCTGGGCTGACACCACAGTCATAAACTGTAAACTTGGTCCCCATGAGGTTGGCTCTAGAATCAAAAGAAATAATCATCATAATGATCTATATTTTTTCTCTTCCACAAACACAATCTAGGAGAGGTGTGTAACAGAATAACTGCCTGTTCTCCAAATATCTAAATGTTCACCACTTTTCAAAGATCTCTCATTAAAACAACGAAAGGACTTCAATTTTCTTTTAACTTATTTTTCTTTCTTTTAAAATATATTTCATTAATTTTAGAGAAGAAAGAAGAGGGAGATAGAGATAGAAACATCAATGATGAGAGAGAATCACTGATTGGCTGCCTCCTGCACGCCCCCTATGGGGACCGAGCAGCAACCCAGGCGTGTGCCCGTGGCTGGAATCAATCCTGAGACCCTTCGGTCTGCAGGCTGATGCTCTATCCATTGAGCCAAACCAGCTAGGGCAAATTACTTTTCTTTAGATTACAACATTAATACATACTCATTCAAGTATTTATTTGAGATTAAAAAAAAAAGAATAGCTATTTGGGAAGCACTGCTGGTGCTGCCATTAGGAGATAAAGGCAAGAGATATAAATGAAAAAGGGAAGGGGAACAATTACCTCACTATGGGGGATGCACTGCTATTGGTGCAGATAAGCTAGCATAGTGACACTAATTCTAAACAGTGTTTCTAATTCTTAGTCAAGTAGCCGTCAGTCTGGTAGTCATCCTATCTGCTTTCTTGTTATCTTGGCACAATATCGTTTTAGGCCCAGTACAAAGGGTATTTTGCCCTATTTTAACATTTCAAAGATTTGAGGCATAAGACATATAAATCAATTCCTCTGGGGTGGCAGCTCTGATTCTTTTTTTTTTCTTTTTCTTTTTTAATTTTTATTGTCTACAGTTTTACATATGTCTCCTTTTTCCCCAGTTGATACCACCTCCCTCCCCCCAGTCATTCCCACCCCAGGCAAGCCCTCACCACCCCAGTGTCTGTATTCATTGTCTGAGTCCATTTTAAAGTGGCTCCATTTATATTATTTTTTACAATAAGAATAAAAGTACCAGAAAGAATAGGATAGTGATACAAAGATGCATGCACCTGAGTTTGCCAACATAACTTTCCCCTTCACGAGATAAATCTGTTGGGTCAGTGGAGATAAGGTAGTTGGATGTTTTGCTCTTTTTCCGTTTTCTACCAGCAAGAAGAAATATCTGGGAAAAGAGAAAAAAAGGTCAGTTAAAAATGAAGTCAAGAGACTTGCTATGGTTTGTTCTCCCTTCTCACTTTGCAGCCCCTGCCCAGGGTGCAGCCTTCCTTGATGCCGTCCATCAGCAGCAGCTTCTTTGGCCCAGGCCTGAGACAATGCCAATGCCCCTGGCAGTGGGGACAAAGCCACCAGCACAGAGCAACATCAGCCAGGCACTGTACAGTGACAGTGTGGGGCCTGCTGCCCTGTTCGCTCCGCCACTGGCCACACAAGGACTACGGAGAAGTAGGTCAGCATGACAGCCCCACGGATGGCAGCAGCTACTTCCCCATGGCATGTAGCACCCTGACCAACATGTCCATTGTCATTCCCAATGGTGACAAATGCCTTGAACCTGGTCTGCTGGCCAGCACGAGACTGCTTTTACAAGGACATAATCTTTAAAAACCTCATCCTTGAAGAATGCCCAATGGAAAAAAAATCAACCATCTCAGATTCCTTGATTGGCAGGCAGAAGAGAGAGATCTTCTCCAGGGATTTAACCCCTTGGCCTTGGCTTTGGCCTTGCCTCACAAACTCCATGGCCTCAATCCCCACCATAGACAGAAGTCACTTGGGCCTCCCACCACAACCCACAGGGTCTCATCCTACCTCAGCACCAGCGTCATCACCACTTGGCATTTTCTCAGAGAAGACCAATCTGTGGGTCTTGATCCCTTTTCCCTCATAATGCTTCTCAGAATTCACTATCAGTGTTTCCCCACTATGTAACTTTTCTAAATTCACTAGCTTGGTTCTCTATAAAACTTTATCCCTAAAAACATCCAGTGACTTTTTTTAAAAGCTTCATCCAATTCCATGAATAAGAGTCTTCCCAACTTTACGGGAGACAGCATCCTGAATACCTCACCTTCCCATTCTTTACTGCCACTGCAGTCCTAATATTCCTTTTTGTATTTTATTGGGGTTTTCTCTTTGTATTGTTTAAAATTTTGTAATTTTAGCCCAGCCAGTGTGGCTCCATGGTTGAGCATCAATCCATGAAGCAGGAGGTCATGGTTTGATTGCCGGTTGGGGCATATAGCCTGAGTTGTGGGCTCGTTCCCTACTGTGGGGCATGCAGGAGGCAGCTGATCAATGATTCCCTCTCATCATTGATGTTTCTATCTCTCTCCCCTCCCTTCCTCTCTGAAATTAATAAAAATATATTTAATTTTTTTTTCAGATGAATACTCTCATATTTATGCTTCCTTGCTAAAACCCTACTGGATTTAGACAATAACAGGGAAGCAGAAGAGTTGGAGTAGTTAACGGGAGACTTTGGAATCAAGCATATGGATTTGAATCTGGCTCTTAAACCCATTACTTTGTCCATAAAGCAGGGATATACATCCTATCTTTCCAGGCTGTCATAAGATTTGTAGGTGATAATTTATATAAAGCATTTAGGACATGCCTGGTACATCATAAACATTCAATAAATAGTGGTAATAATAACCATGATATTTACTATCACCATCTAATTTCTAGGACCCTAAAATCATCCACTTCGAACTGATATTAATACAAAATACATTGTTCATTGGCAAGTATAAACTGTCTCAAACATAGGTACAAAGTAAGTTAGAATTTCTAGGGCGAGAAACAATATTTTTCACTTGTATACTCCTCTATATTTCTAATTCCTTCTATTCCCTAAAACTTGCTTTTTTGCCCTGGCTGGTATTGCTCTATGGTTAGAGTGTTGTGCTGTGCACCAAAGGGTCATGGATTTGATTCCTGGTCAGGGCACAGGTTTCAGGCTGAATCCCTAGTAGGGGGCATGCATCAAGCAGTTGACCAGTGATTCTCTCTCATCATTGATGTTTAGATTTCCCTCTCCTGTACTCTCTGAAATCAATTAAAAAAAAAAATCAACCAATGAATGCAAAAGTAGAACAAATTGTTGGTTCTCTCTCTCTCTTCCTCTAAAATCAATAATTAAAAAAAAAAGAATCAAGCCTAGCCAGTGTGGCACAGCAGTTGAGTACAGACCTACAAACTAGGGAGTCATAGTTCAGTGCACATGCCTGGGTTGCGGGCTTAATTCCCAGTAGAGGGCATGGAGGGGGCAGCTGATCCGTGATTCTCTCTCATCATTGATGTTTCTAGCTCTTTCTCCCTCTCCCTTCCTCTCTGAAATCAACAGCAGTATATATATATAAATGTATTTTTTTTTTTTAAAAGAATCAATTCTCATACCTTCCGATTTTCATCCTTTTCCAAGTGCATATAGTAAGTGGGGAAGAGACCCCGATCCATTCCTTTTTTATCCCTGGTTATTCGACACTTTACTGTGACACCGCGAGGAGCAGAACTATAAGCAAAGTCCTCTAAATTCTTTACTTCTCCCAGCTGGTTATCAGTTTGTTGGGCTGAAGTACCTGAAGCCCCTGTATCCTGAGAGAATAGCCATACATGAGCAAAGGAGATAGAGTCAGAAAAACTTCATACTCTCTTTAACGGATAAAATAGCTTATTGATTTATACCCCTATGTCTTCAGTCTTCTGGCAAAATAATAGACAATTCCGAGGAGTTAAGTAACTATATGAATTCTGGGAGTGATGAAGGAGCTAAGTATGAAAATGGGATATAGTGTCACAATAGCTGGCTTAAGACATGAAATTAGAGGTCATGTAACATCTAAATTAGAACTTATATGAAGCAACCCTCATTTAGTAATGGTATTTAAATACTGAATGTGTATTTGGGAAATAGTTAAATTTGCTCCAAAGGAAGATGATCTACATACCATGGTTGATTTCTGGCTGGATGCAGAACTGGGTCTCTCTGCCTCTGAACATGGTGAATGAAATAATTTTTTCCCTTCTTCTTCCTCCCCATCAGTCTCCTCATCAAAGTTCAAACTACCTGAGATACCTAGCAGAAAAAGAAGAACTGTCAACAAAAGTCATTTTAAAAATCAGAGTTTTATTTTGGGATGATGAAAAAGTTCTGGAACCCTTGTGCATTGCTGGTGGCAAATAAAATTGTGTGGAAATCATTATGGTGGTTCCTAAAAAAATTAAATATAGAGTTACCATATGACCCAGCAATTCCACTTCTGAGTATATACACAAAAGAGCTGAAAACAGAGACTCAGATACTTGTGCACCATTGTTCACAGCAGCATTATTCACTAAATTCAAAAGGTGGAAACAACCCAAATTCCCACCAACTGATGAAAGATAAACAAATTGTGGTACATACATACAATGGGCTATTAGCCATAAAAAGGAATGAAACTCTGATACATGCCATAACCTGAATGAATCATGAAGACATTCTGCTTAGTGAAATAAGCCAGACACAAAAGGACAAATACTGCTATTGATTGCACTTACATGAAGCACCTAGAATAGTCAAATTCATAGAGACAGAAAGTAGAATGGTGGTTAGCAGGAGCTGAGGAGAGAGGAGAATGGGGAGTTATTATTTAATAGATACAATTTTTTATGTTGGAATATAGAAAAAGTTCTGGAGATGGGTAGTGATGATAATTGCACAACAATGTAAATGTACTTAATGCCACAGAACTACCACAAAATGGTTAAAATGTATATTTTACCAAAATAAAAAAATTCAATGATTCATTGTTCTCTGTATCAGTCACTCCCCCCCCATATTTTGTTCATTTCTAGTCTAATTAATTCAAGTTGAGAATGTCTGAAATACTATTACTTTGAATTCATGAAGCACACCTCTTACAGAAAATTTAAAACTATGTTTTATTAATCAATGTTACCCCCAACAAATTTTTTAAAAACAATGCTTTTATTTTATCCTCATATTTATAAGAGTCTGAGGAGGAGATACTCATAGTTTTCTTTTTTCTTTTTTTAATTTGTTTATGGAACATACCAGGAGGAACACAAACATGAAGTGTGATGTATGTTATATAAGAAGTAGGGTTCTCACATCTATAATAATAAAAGCATATAATGCTAATTAGACCAGATGTCCTCTGGATGACCTTCCGGACAACCTTCTAGACAAAGCCGGGGCCGCGAGGGAAGCCAGTGCCAGCAGCCGGGGAAAGGAAGGCCTACTCTTGCACGAATTTCATGCATCCAGTCTTTAGTTCACATATAAAAGTATGAGGCTCAGGGAGTCATTTGCCCAAGAAAAAGAGGCAAAGCTAAGACCTAAATTTTCTTTTTTTGCTTGTCTATAGGGTGAAGTTATCCATCATGTAATAGTTAAAATAGCCCCCAAATCATGAATTTATAAGTAGATTTAACAACAAGCTGTGTGTGTGTTTTTTTCCTACAAACCATTTCTTACCCACATTCAGGGTGGGGACAAATATGATCTACTTTTACACAGTTAACAAATAAATTGGTGTTAGCTTTTCTCAAGGACACCCAAAGATAAGATAAAGGCCAATAGGAAGATTCATCTCAAGTGAAAACATACTTTCACACAAATACTTATACATGAATGTTCATGGCAACATTATTCATAATAGTATGAATTGGGAAACAACCCAACTGTCCATCAACTGATGAAGAGATAAACAAGATATGGCATAACCATACAATGTAATGTCATTCAACAATAAAGTGGAATGAAGTACTAATACCTGCTACAATACAATGAACTCTGAAAACACTCCACTAAGTGAAAGAAGCCAGTCATAAAGGACCACAGTGTGTATGATTCTATTTATATGAAATGCCAGGAATAGGCAAATCCAGAGATAGAAGGAAAGTAGGTTGGTAGTTGCTTGGGATTGAAGGGGTTAGAGAGAAATGGGGAGTGGTTGGTAATAGGTATCAAGTTTGTTTTGGGAGTCATGAAAATGTTCCAAAATTGTAATGATGGTTGCAAACCTCTGGAAATATACTAAAAACCAATGAATTTGTCACTTTAAATGAGTAAATTGTATGATATGTGAATTATCTATATATTTAAAGAGCCAGGGTCTATAACATCCAAAACAACTGAACAGATGACCAAACACTGGAAGTCAGTCCTGCAGCCACAGTGATCCAGCACTGGTTGCCGAGGGGGCTGCAGATCAGGCTTGAAGAGAGAGAAGCCCAGAGAGAGAAGCAGGGTCTGATCTGTAGCCCCTTAGGCAGTCAGTGCTGGGTTGCTGTGGGGACTCAGCACTGATTGCCACTGCTGCAGGCGTGGTGATCCAGCACTGACTGCTGAGGGGGTGCAGTTTAGGCCTGGAGAGAGAAGCAGGGTCCGATCTGCAGCCTCCATGGCAACTGTTGATCAGCCCTAGCCTCTCTTTCTCTCGGGACCTTGCCAGCAGCCAAGGGAGCTGCTGATCAGCCCCGCCTCTCAGAATAGGCCCAGAGATAGGCCTGGAGATGTTGACTGGCATAGAAACCAACCAATCAGAACCAAATCTAGGTGAAGTATGAGGATGGAATGGCTGCCTAGAAGGCAGAGCTTTTGATGCTGACTGGCATAGAAACTGACCAACCAAAACCTAATCTGGGTGAACTGCGAAGGCAGAAATTAAGGTGGGGGCTGAGGAGGGGTTTTAAGGGCAATAGCTATTTAGTGTAAGGTGTAAGAAAGCAGTTCAGCCGAAACCGGTTTGGCTCAGTGGTAGAGCGTCGGTCTGCGGACTGAAAGGTCCCGGGTTCGATTCCGGACAAGGGCATGTACCTTGGTTGTGGGCACATCCCCGGTAGGGGGTGTGCAAGAGGCAGCCGGTCGATGTTTCTCTCTCATCGACGTTTCTATTGTAGCTCACTATCTCTCTCCCTTCCTCTCTGTAAAATATCAATAAAATATTAAAAAAAAAAAAAAAAAAGAAAGAAAGCAGTTCAAATTTTTAATAACCAGTTTGGCAGTACAGTGCATATAGCTGGCTATCAGTCCAGATATAGGGATTATTTTTGTCTGCCAAGAGCATCTCCTCCTGCTGAAAAAGCCCCTCTCCCCATTTAAGCAATCCTATCCTATATAATCTATCTATACTAATAAAAGGGTAATTGCTAATTAGATCAGGTCGACCAGCCATCTTTTGGATGTCCAACTTCCTTCTGGACAAAGTCGTAGTGGTAGGGCCAAGGCAGAGGAAGTTAGGGGCGATAAGGCCGGCAGGGGAGGGCAGTTGGGGGGCAAGATCAGGCCAGAAAGAGGTCAGGTGCAATAAGGCCAGCAGGAGGCCAATTGGGGATGAAATAGGCTGGCAGGGGAGGGCAGTTGGGGGCAATCAGGCTAGAAGGGGAGAGCAGTTAGGGGCGATCAGGCAAGCAGACAGAGGGGTTAGGGGCAATCAGGCAGGCAGAGGCAATTAGGGGGGTATTAGAGGCAACTAGGCAGGCAGGTGAGTGGTTAGGAGCCAGTAGTCCCAGATTGCAAGAGGGATGAATTGTGAGGTGAACCTAGATTAGGCAGAACCTCGGTGAACCTAGATTAGGCAGGCAGGCAGGTGAGTGGTTAGGAGCCAGCAGTCCCAGATTGCAAGAGGGATGTCCGACTGCCGAGGTAGGCCTGATCCTGCAGGGATCCCACAGGAATCAGGCCAAAACCGGCAGTTGGACATTCTCCAAGGGGTCCCCAATTGGAGAGTTGAAGAGGGTGCAGGCTGGGCTGAGGGAACACCCCCTGCATGAATTTTGTGCACCAGGCCACTAGTATCTCAATAAAGCTTTTATTTAAAAAGCTGGAGGCCCAATGCACAAAATTCGTGCACTTACAGGAGTCCCTCAGCCTGACCTGTGCTCTCTTGCAGTCTGGAAGCCCTTGGGGGATATCTGACTGCCCACGGGGAACGGGCCTAAGCCAGCAGTCAAACATCCTTAGCAGTGCTGCGGAAGGTGGCAGGGACTCCCGCCACTATTGCTGGGCTCGCCAGCCATGAGCCCAACTCAGGGCTTCTGGCTAAGTGGCACTCCCCCTGTGGGAGCGCACTGACCAACAGGGAGCAGTTCCTGCATTGAGCATCTGCTCCCTGGTGGTCAATGTGTGTCATAGTGACCGGCTGATTCATCATTTGGTCTATTTGCATATTAGCATTTTATTATATAGGAGGGAGGGACTGACAGAGGTCATAGAGGAGGGTGATGGACATAGACAAAGGTGTTGTGATGGACAGAGGTGGGGTGAAGAAATGAGTGACATCTATAATAATGTCAACAACAGAATAAAAACAACAATGATATACCACGACACTACACACCTATTAGGGAAATAAAAGATACATTATGAACTATGTATTTACTACTTTGATAAAATTTAAAAAGAAAAGGTATTGTCCAGAAAGGAGAGTTATTGAAAATTATTTTATTTTTTTATGGTAAAGCTAAGGAAGCTTCAGAATCCCTTTGTGGACTGGATTTGTTTTGGGGAAAAGACCAAACAAGTTGCAACCAGCAGCATTTTGGATAACCTGCCTGAAATGATTTAAAAGAGAAAGGGACAGATTCCCCAAGCTTATAGTTATTTGTAATTTATGTTCTTATTCTAAATAAAGTCATTTTTTAACCTTATTTAAACTCTCCCTTCCCCCTCCACAAATTAGTTCTTCAGGTTCAGTAAACTTTAGGCCTCACAAAACCTATTAGTCCCTGAGGGTTGGGGTCCCTAAAGGAGTTTGGATTCATTATTATATTTATTTGCTCCTTTTAATTCTTGTTCTAGGGAGAGTGAGCACAGCTTTTTATTCAGTAATTTTTATAATAAGAGTTGTATTGGAACCTGCTCCTTCTTTGGCTGTTTACAGGTTTACCTTACCGGGAACTCACAGAGACTTAAGCCCTTTGAAGATAGGGACAGAGCTGTATTGAGTTTCTATAAAATTGAGTGCAAAGTTAATACAACTTTTATAAATATTTGTTGAAGAAATGAGGCATTACTTTTCCTTCTGCTCCATCTCTTTATTGAGACTTTTGTGCAGAGCCTAAGGCTGAGGGGATAGGAAGGTAGAGCGGAGTAAAATTGCTTTTTCCAAACCCTAGATCCCATACTTTGATTTTACATAGTAGATGTATTTCTGAATGACATTTTGAATTAGGTATATTAGATTTTGCTAATTTCAACTTCCTTTACTCATAGAAATTATTTTTTAATTTTTTTAAAATATATTTTATTGATTTTGTACAGAGAGGAAGGGAGAGAGATAGAGAGTTAGAAACATCGATGAGAGAGAGTCATCGATCAGCTGCCTCCTGCACACCCCCTACTGGGGATATGCCCGCAACCAAGGTACATGCACTTGAACGGAATCGAACCCAGGTCCTTTCAGTCCCCAAGCCAACGCTCTATCCATTGAGCTAAACCGGTTTCAGCCTCATAGAAATTATTTTTAACGATATTTAAACATTTCATACTATGAGGTGCAAAATATTTTATTTCAAGAATTTTTGTGCATTCTTTCTGTAGTAAAGTGAATTATCAACATGGTAAGTCTATTTGGGGCTCTGCTTAAAATGGGGGACACCAGTACTAAATTTGGCTCTAACAATGACTAATTCACACCCCACGTGTGGAGTTAAATGGCTATTGGACATAACCATTTCTTTTGGTCCCTTTGCTCCCACAGCACCTGCTTCATGAGAGGGATGTCCTGACCCTCCATGACCTCTTTGTCATGGTGTCCGCGGTGCGTCTATTGCTTGAGGCCTTGGCAGTCAGCCGGGCATCAACCTTCCCAAGATGGTGGCAACCTGGACAAACACACATCAAGGGCGGGATCCCATCGGCAGAGGCCAGGCAGGAAGGCACAGGGGGAGGGAGAGCTTTCAGGCAGGCCAACTGAACTAGCAGCTTCCCTCCTCCTTTCCTCTCCTCCTGGGCCAGTGGCCAGATGGTTGAGGGGGGCAAAAGCCACTGGTGAGGCTGGGTGTTGCTTCGCGAGGGTAAGGAGCCTGAGGTGCTGGTCCTGGCTGGGCAGGCAGGCACTTCTTTCCCCAGCTTTTGGAGGGTGTTGGGGGCAGGGACACACCCAGCCTCTACGCTGGGATGGGGCCTGGAAAGGAGGGAGGCTGCCCCTTCCCCACTGCAGGATGGGATGTTGCAGGGGAAGGGCTGTGGATCTCTGGCCAGGGGAAGGTTGTGGGCTCAGATGCTGTGGAGGCCACCAGACCCTTGGGGGCAGGAAGGAGCGTCTGGGCCTGCCCTGCAGTGAGTCCCTGGCTTGGGTGTGTGAGCGACAGGCGGGTAGTGGGTGGTGAAAGTAGGAGAAGAAACTGGCCCCAGGCCTGATAGGTGAGGCGTGAAAAAATTCTGCCTGGGCAACACCAGGGCCATGGAGTTGTGGCAGATAAAAAAGCGCTGGCACCCGTGGCCTCGACACCGGCGCACGGGGTCTGAAAACCTGGAAGGGTGCAGGACACCCCTCTCCTGCCTCTGCCTAGCACAGGCTCTGCCACACTGCAAAGAGCCACTGCGCTCCACCCCGCTCCGGGAACCACTTCTTGCGGGCCGGGCTGGAGAAAGAGACCAAGAGGTGCTAAATGCACCTCATGGTGACTGGTCATTTGGTTGTTACAGTCATCACAGACACTGACTTTATATATATATAGATTCTTTGGTTTGTAAAGAACATTTTTTCTTTTGTTTTCTAAAATTTTGTTTTGTTTTCTACCTTTTTCATAGCAAAGGGTATAAAACTCTTGGGATCTCACTATCCTATGGATAGCTTCACTTAATACCATGTTTTGAAATGCCATTTTTATACCAAGAACTCAGTTTATATAAATCCTTAGGTCTGACCTGCTATCAGAGCCAATCAGGTTCCCCACCTCCCTGTCTCTTCCTCCCCTTGCTCCCTCAGCACCCTGCTGCCACTGCTGGTCACCCACCATATTCTGTGCCACCCCCTGGAGGTCAGTGCACATCATAGCAAGCATTCAAACTCCCATTCTCCCAGTCAAGCTCCCAAGGGGACACTTTGCATATTAGCTTTTTATATATATAGACTAGAGCCTTGTGCATGAAATACATGCACACGGGGGGTGTCCCTCAGCCCAGCCTGCACCCTCTCCAATCTGGGACCCCCCTCAAAAGATGTCAAACTGCTGGTTTACAGGGATCGGGCTTAAATCGGCAGTCGGACATCCCTCTCGCAATCTGGGACTACTGGCTCCTAACTGCTCTGCCCACTGGCCTGCTCACCCCCAACTGTCCCCCCTGCTGGCCCACTTTCCCCAACCTTTCTTCCCCACTGACCTGCTCACCCCCAACTGCCCCCCTGCTGACCTGCTCACTCAAAACTGTGTGTGTCTCTTCCCCCTCCCCGCCCTACCCCTGCTGTCCTGATCATCTCTAACTACCCTAACCCTATCCCTCCATCGCTGGGGAAACCCAAGCCTCCCTCCTGCTCTCTCCTTGGCAGCAGCCATCTTGGTTGGGTTAATTTGCATACTAGCTCCGGACTGGTTTTTGTGGGCAAGATGGAATAATGGTTAATTTGCATATTACTCTTTTATTAGATAGGATATGTTTTTGTGTGTGTTTTTTAATCTTCACCTAAAGATATTTTTCTATTGATTTCTATAGCGTGGAAGAGAGGGAAAGACAGAGAGAAATAGCAATGTGAGAGAAACACATCGATTGGTTGCCTCCTGCACGTGCCCTGACTAGGGCCTGGGCCAGGGAGGAGCCTGCAACTGACTCATCCTGGGAATCGAACCCAGGTCCCTTTGGTCCACAGGCCAATGTTCTATCCTCTGAGGCAAATTGGCTAGAGCTAATATGATTTTATTGATTTTTTTTTTTTTTTTTAAGAAAGAGAGAGGAAAGAGTTTGATAAAAACATCAATGAGAGAAAAACATTATCCACCAGCTGCCTCCTGCATGCTCCCTAGAGGGGAATCAGCCCACAACCCAGGCATGTGCGCCTTGACTAGAATCGAACCCGTGACCTCTTGGTTCATAGTGCTCAACCACTGAGCCACACCAGCCAGACACGCTTGGCTTTTTAAGCACATGAAGTCTCAATCAGAATAAATGCTCCATGAGGGCAGGAACCTTTTTACTACTGTATCCTAAGTAGTAAAACAATGCCTGATATATAGTATATACTCAATACAAAGTTTCTAAATGAATGATTGTACAAATTTGTTTGAATGTACATCTATTCTATCATTCTATGGTACAATCTTCTGATTCACATAGCCCAGAATCTAGCAAGACCTACCTATTACAAAATAGGCACCCAATAAATATTTATTCATTATTGGGCTTCAGTCTTCTTATCTGAAAAGGAGACAATTCCTTCTCCTAAAAAAATTATTTTTCTAAGAAGGAAAGATGACTAAAAGGAATGTCTAAAATGTACAGAAATATGCATGGAAATAGTAACTGCAACTGGCAGAAAGTAGGCTCTAATGAAAAAATGTATTTGTGGTTCCCTTAAGCTGGCTATTTATCTTTCCCCTTATCACTAGATCAATATAAACTGTGAAATGGAGGTAGAATAGGAGTGCTGAGTGGTATCCGTGTAAAAGGAAGAGGGTAGAAACTAAAATAGAAAAAAGAAATAGCCACATATTGTAGCTAATGCTGCTGACATTTCACATTTGATATAATTAACTTATTTTTCTTAGGTAAATAATAGGATAAATACTACTATTGTTGAAAATGACCAATTCTCAGATCTCAAAGATGCCTAATGTTGTCATCTCTGTAAAGACCTGAACAATACTGCAAGCAATTTAAAGTCATGAAGATTGTTAATCAACAAGAAAGTAAAGTAAAAGATTATAAATGACTAAGACAATTAATTGCCTTAAAATCATGACTGATCCTCACCATGTTTTTGGAGAATCTCCTGAAGATCTGGCTTAGAAGGATTATCCAAAGTGCTTTCCCCATCAACACTTCCTTCAGTATCCTCTTCTGTAGTAGAAGAGCCAAGTGAGAGAACATGAAGTTTGGTTTCTGAATCTTGAGCATCTGGCTTCAGGAAAGCAGCTGGACCATCAATGCCTGGGACCAAAAGAAAAGAGAAAGCATAACTGATTATTTAGCTATGTGGGTTTCGAGTATGTGATCAGAATTAAGAACCACCAAAACACTTTATTCTCCCCTTTCCTTAACATCCATGAAGACATTGTTAACAGAGTAATCCAGGACTGGTGTTCATTGTAGTAACATGCTATGACTCTTACTAAAGTAAAGTGTGCCTGATGTTGCCTTGAGAAACTTAAGAATGAGACTATGAAAACAAAATAGGTCCTCCAAGGTTCAAATCCCATACAAACCAATAGCTAAGGGGCTTGACTCAGGAGGCTCTTAACCCCATTCATCTCTTGTCCTGTCATCATCTTAGAAGATCCTTGGAGTCCTACCTATTGGAAGAATGGATGCTCTACTAACTCCTGGCTTCAAACTTAACTGAGCCACAATCCTATCTATTAAAAGGGTAATATGCAAATTGACTATCACTCCAACACACAAGATGGCTGCCCCCATATGGACACAAGATGGCCGCCACAAGATGGCCAGCAGGGTAGGGCTGTTGTGAGCAATCAGGCCTGCAGGGGAGGGCAGTTAGGGGTGACTGGGCCGGCAGAGGAGGGCAGCTTGGGGCGACCAGACATGCAGGGGAGGGCAGTTAGGGTGACCAGATCTGCAGGAGAGGGCAGTTTGGGGGGACCAGGCCTGCAGGGGAGGGAAGTTGGGGGGTGACCAGGCTGGCAAGGGAGAAAGTTAGGGGTTACCAGGCTGGCAGGGAAGGCAGTTAGGGATGACTGGGCCATCAGGGGAGGGAAGATGGGTGGGGAAAGGACCAGGCTTACAAGGAAGGACAGTTGTGGGGAACCAGGCCTGCAGGGGAGGGCAGTTGGGGGGGACCAGGCCTGCAGGGGAAAGCAGTTAGGGGTGACTATGCCTGTAGGAGAGGACAGTTAGGAGTGACCAGGCCTTCAGGAGAGGGCAGTTAAGGGTGACCAGGCCAGCAGGGGAGGGCAGTCAGGGGCAATCAGGCAGGCAGGGAGCAGTTAGGCATCGATCAGGCTGGCAGGGGAGTGGTTAGGAGGTGATCAGGTTGGCAGGCAAAAGCAGTTAGGGGCAATCAGGCTGGCAGGCAGGCAAGTGGTTGGGAGCCAGCAGTCCTGGATTGTGAGAGGGATCCCAGATTGGGGAGTATGCAGGCTGGGCTAAGGGACACACACACCCCATGCATGAATTTCATGCACCGGGCCTCTATTATGTAAATAAAGACAATAAGCTCCTAAAATAGGCTCTTCTGGACTAATTCCTTTGAGATCTAAAAATAACATTTCTATGGTGGATATATACTTTATGGTATCTCCTACTGATTGGACCATTGCTTTTATTCTACCTCAAAGACCCAAAATTTAATTATAAAAATGTATGAAGGCTGGCACTCCGGTTGAGCATCGACCCATGAACCAAGAGATCACTGGTTCAATTCCCAATCAGGATACGTGCCAGGGTTGTGGGCTTGAACTCCAGTAGGGGGCATGCAGGAAACAACCAACCAATGTTTCTCTCTTATCTTATCGATCTTTGTATCTTTCTATCCCTTTCCCTCTTCTCTCTCTAAAATCAATAAAAACTTATTTTTTTAAAATTTATGAAGGTACCCTAGTGTCAATACTAATGTTGTTTCTTAGATCCATCTAAGAATCTTCCTGCCTTCTTCTGGGTTTGAAAAAACTGTACCCCAGAGGTAAGAGATGCTTCCTAAATACACACCATGTAGGATGACATTGTTGTGAGGGGTATGAGGTTCCACCAAGGGAGTATGCTCCTCACTACCTCTTGGCTTTGACCGACGTAGCCTGGCTTCTGGGTTTGGCTGCACCATGAGTGGTTCCAGGCGTTTTTTCCTCTGCTTCTTCTCCAGCAGTGCTCTCTAGGAAAAATTTGATATTATATCCAGGAGAGTTATGACAAGACTCATCCACTTTGTACATTTACAGTGTTACACTGACCATCACATAAAATCCTTGTGAATTAATTTTCCCACTTAAGAAATAAGAAAATTGAGGGGCACTGGCTCATTCATTTAGTAACTATTTATTGAACACCTATAAATATATATTTAAATGATACAAATGTATTCCTAGCCAAGCTGAAGATCATGATACAAGTCAATTTAAAACATATGTAGTAATTATCATATTATTATCAACATCTGGTCACAAGTTTAAACTATATAAACACATATGCATAAATAAAAGATAATGGAATACAAAGAAACATAGTCTTTGGGTAGTAGACTATAAATAATTATTTTCCTTTTTCTATATTTTTAATTTTTCTTACTTTTGTTATCAAAAGAAAAATAAATTTTATTATTGTTTAAACCCCAAATTATTTTCATGTTTTAATTAGCACCAAAAAAAAAAAAGTTTGCTTTCTTGCTCATCTATTTATATAAAACCCTAATATGCAAATCAACTGAACGTCAGAATGACTGGAGTAACAAATGGTTGCTATGATGCGCACTGACCACTAGGGGGAAGATGCTCAAGGCAGGAGCTGCCCCAAGCCCACAGGCCCCTAACAGAGGCAGTGATAGGGGGTGGGAACAGCAAGTGGGTGATTCCAGGCCAAGGCGGGTGCAAGCAGAGGCCCAGATCACCCCACTGGTCTCCCACAGAAGGGCCCTGATCGCTGGCCAGGCTTAGGGACCCCTACTGAGCACAAATTTTGTGCACCGGGCCTCTAGTTTTTACATATTAATTTAACAAATTAGGGCCAAGGGATAACAGTTGGAACATTCCAAATAGAAAGCAATCAACTCCATGAACAAATGCAAAATATAGAACATGGTAGCATGAACTCAGAAAAAAAGCATGCAAGACCATGCGAAAAAATCCAACAAGATGGAATTGGAGGTACTAGACCCACACTATTTTTAAGCTTTGGCAAATAAAAGCATATAACATATAGAAATTATTATGAATCTGAGATATCTCAGAATAGAAAAATACCAAGTCCCAAGCTAAAAAATTAAACCATTATTTTTAATATATATATATATTATAACCTACTTTATTGTTTTTTAGGCAAAAAGCCATCTATTAGCTTTTTTTCCCATTAACATTGCTTTTACAATGTGCCACTAACAATAAGAGTTATTCTAGAGGTGAGACTATGGGCAGGAAAGGATATGTGCTTTTCCTGAACTGGCCTAATGAAAGCTTGCAGATAAACTCAGAAGATACAGAAAAACAGACTACTCTTTTTTACCCAACCTTGTTTATAGTAAGTCCTCAAATAACATTGTTTCAGGATAATGTGAAAGGGATGCATAGGAACTTAACTCTTGTTTATATCAATTAGCCTATGGTAAAACTGGTTTCATTATACATCATTTCCCTTAAAGTTGAACCTATTAGGACATTAGTGAGGACTTACTATATAAGAAAAAGACTGGAAACCTAAGATAATGTGCCAAAAAATGGACTATTCAAGAAGAATAGAGAACTTAGAGCAAGTTGGGAAGGAATATATTTTGAGACTCATGAATTCATGTGAATAGATGGACTTTAATGTACCAAGAACACTAAATACACATGATACTATAATGAGATCCTCCTCATAGAACTGGCTGATAAGGTTCTGTTAGCAAAAAAGTCTTGTATAATGGATAAGAAGTAACCTGCCTGCACATATGGTAAATATGATGTATAAAGACATGAGAAACTGACGTAGCTGGTTTGGCTCAGTGGATAGAACATCAGCCTGTGAACTGAAGGGTCCCAGGTTTGATTCCGGTCAAGGGCAAAGGGGCAGGTTACCGGCTCGATCTCCAGTAGGGGGTGTGCAGGCAGCAGCCAATCAATGATCCTCTCTCATAATTGATGTGTGTCTCTCTCTTCCCTCTCCCTTCCTTTCTGTAATCAATAAAAAATAAAGTAATAATAAAAAAGACACGAGAAACTACCACATATATGTGGCCACAGCTATTTAGTGTCTTATAGTCTCCTAACTGTGAAACAGTTGATGAAATAAAACCACAAGCTGTAGCTAGTCCATTTTATTAATATATGTAAAGAAAAAAATGTTCTATGGAAAAAGAGTATCCAGTTTGTGGTACAGAAAAGGGAAACCAAGGAGCAAGAATTTCTCAGAGTGCAGCCAGCCTGTTCAAGAAAGAGAAATACTAAATCCGGTAGACAAGAGTATTCTCTTTATGGAAGAGCTTACTCATTTTAAGCACAAGAAACTATAAAAGATTTCTTCAGGGTTTAATTAACTATCCCTCAGCACAATCTAATTCCATTTCCTCTGACTCCTTGCGTCCCAATCAGCCTGCTATTTTTCAATTTAACTTCTTAGGCATCAAATTACCAAGAATAAAGAATTATGTGCAGTAGAATTGAATGTATACTGGAAGAGTTAGAGTTCTCATTGTAAATTAATGAATTGATATCTGGTTTCAAAACTGACTGTTGTGAGTTTGACAGGTATGTTTGTGGTCTAGAAAAGGGGAGCCAAAGAGCTAGGTGTCACATGGTACATCTCAGTTCACTAACAAGACCACATTCTTAGACCTGCACTTGGACAACTAAATTCCTGGTCACAGTGATACTATCAAGGTATCTGGCAAAGCCTTCCTCTACCAGATTTAAACTTACTTACATCAACAACTTAAAAATAAAATAAAAAACAGCCCAGCCCAACCTGCATAGCTCAGTGGTTGAACATTAACCTACAAACCAGGAGGTTACAGTTCAGTTCTTGGTCAGGGCATATGCCTAGGTTGCAGACTGGATCCCCAGTGTGGGGCATGCAGGAGGAAGCCGATCAATGATTCTCTCTCATCATTGATGTTTCTATCTTTCTCTCCCTTTCTCTTTTTCTCTGAAATCAATAAAAATATATTTTTAGGATTAAAAATAGTGGCAGAGTAGGAGGATGCTGCACAAACATGCTCCCAGGAACAAGCTGGAATTACAACTGAAATACGGAAAGGCTTCCTGAATAATCCACAGAAAACTCACAGGAGAGAACCCTGATACCCAAGGACTGAAGGTGGAGATTACATAGACTGGTAGGAGGGGTAGAGGCATCAAAGGGCTGGCTGGGCACCCACATACAGCAACTGAAGTCCCAGAGAGGTATCTCAGCTGTGAGGAGGTGCCACTGAGAACTCTGGTATCTAATCCTGAAGCTGGGCTCCCCAGCAGAGAGCAATAAAACTGAGGAGGGTACCCACATAAAATCTAGCTGTGAAAAGCAGTGGGGAGCTGTCTGCCAGGGAGTGCCAGCTAAAAGCTATCACTCAGAATTGAAGGTCAGATAAAGAGCTTCACTAATAATAAAAAAAAAAGCTAAAGGAGTTCATCACCACCAAACCAGAATTATATGAATTGCTGAAGGGAGTTCTTTCAGAAGAGAAAGTAAATAAAGATAAAAATTATGAACAACAAATACGTAACTATCAACAAGTGAATCTAAAAACCAAGGAAATTAAAAAAAAATCTGATGAACAATATTAACTGTTGAATATAATAGAATCAGAGGTATGGAAGGGGAGTGAACTGACGATTCTTGGGGAAAAGGGGAGAGGGGGATGTGAGAAGAGACTGAACATAAACTGTGCACCTATGGATGAGGACAATGGGGGGTGGGGAAAGGGCAGAGGGTGGGGTGGGAACCTGGTGGAGGAGAGCAATGGAGGGGGGGGGGGGAGAAACATTCGTAATAATATGAACAATAAAAATTTATTTTAAAATAATAATAAATAAATAAATAAAATAAAAAATAACCCAACAACTATAGATTCAAACTGTGAACTTCAGGGAACAGCTACTATATTACAGAACTGAATATATCCTGCTATTATCCAAGTTTGTAAATAATAAAATAATAAAATATCTACTTTAAAAATAAATAAACAGAAACTTTATTCAAATGAAGTCAGGAGGGTAGAAGAGAGTTCTCACACATGTCACTCAATGCAAACTGTTGGCTCCAATAAGAAGAGATGGTAGGTACCTTGCATCTCTGATAGGAGGTGAGAATACTAATACTTTACTACCTCAGCAGAAAGAAGTCCTCTCCGCCCAGTAACAGCTCAGCCAATGGAAGACAGCCATAACTCAGCCAATGAAAAATCACTATATTTGAAACTTTCAGTCCTCCAACAGATTCTTCACGTACAACAGTGCCTCCCAAGTCCATAAAAAAGTGGTTTTTCTGGACATGCTCATAGTTTGTCACTAGACTGAATGTCCCAAACCATAATTCCTCGTTATTCCTGAATAAACCCATTTTGCTAAAGAAATATATGGCTATTTATTTAAATTCAACATTATATATGAGCAAACTAACATTTGGTAAAAACTGTCACCTGATGTAGCACTCTAATCACCCTCACATAGTTTGATGAGGGAATAGAGAGGTGCTAATTGAGTGGTTTTTAAAAAATATATTTTTATTGATTTCAGAGAGGAAAGGAGAGGAAGAGAGAGATAGAAACATCGATTATGAGAGAGAATCATTGATTGGCTGCATCCTGCATGCCCCCTACTTGGGATCAAACCCACAACCCAGGCATGTGCCCTGGTTCATAGGTTGATATTCAACCACTGAGCCAAACCAGCCAGGCTAAAATTTTTTGTATTTATTGATTTTAGAGAGGGAGGATGGAAAAAAGAAACATTGATTTGTTGTTCCATTATTTATGCATTCATTTGTTGATTCTTGTATGTGTCCTGACCAAGGATCGAGCCTGCAACCTTGGTATATTGGGAAGATGCTCTAACCAACAGAGCTATCCGGCTAGAGCTCATTCATGTTTTACCTTCCCTAAAAAGCTAAAAGTGCTTTAAAGGCCGCACACACAAAGGACTCATTACAAGCTTAGGGAAAGGTTAGGGGAGTCAGGAAGAGAACCCAAGGTTTGATGCTCTATGTGCAATTGAAATATGTTGCCTTCTGGATTAAGTGATACATAACCTTTAAATTTCCCAGTTTCCTTGGAAACTGAATAATAACTCAAAGAATCCATCTTCTCCAGAATCTGGTGGTATGCTAGATTTTCCTGGGGGCAAGATATTGAATAGTGATGCCAAAAAAATATCAGGTGAGAATTAAAACAGATAGATAGATAGATAGATAGATAGATAGATAGATAGATAGACAGACAGATAGATAACATTCATATGAAAAAGCAAATATGCTGTGTTGGCTAAAATGTTCCCCAGTCTATAAAGGAAGCTAGGTAGAGGGAGGCTGCAGCTGGTATATTAACCTCAGCAGTGATTTCAAGCCATAAAAAAACACTACAGCAGGGCTCCACCTAGGACTGCTTGGTCACCCACACTAGGGTCTCAAGGCCTAGGCATCAGTCAGCTTGTCCTGAGGGATCCCTAAGCCTGAAAGTGGATTTTACTGATCAATCTAGAACTGAACATATGTGGCAATAGAGGTGACTGGCTGGTGGGGTGGGCCTGGTCCTCAGGTTGTGGAAGGTAGAGTGGCTAGGCACTCCCCCTGCCCAGAGCAGGCAAGGTCCGTCCTATGCACTGCCACCAGGACATGGGGAAAAGCTCAGAGCACAGGCCCAGGAGTTCCAAGGTCCTTGTCCACATTAGCCAGTCCAATGATGCCCTCGCCAAGGGTGATGAAGCTATAGTTACCTTAGAGCCAGCAAAGCAGAGCCACATGGCTCCAGACCTGCAATGGCACTGCTGTCATTACTCAGGCCTTTGAGGACAAGCTGCACAGCCCTATTTGAGCACTGTGGCTCCAGGTTCACTCCTCTCCATTCCTGGTCAAGGGCACGTACCTCGGTTACAGGTTCCCCAGCCCTCCCAGGGGATCTTGTGGGAGGCAACCAATCAATGTTTCTCTCTCTCTCCCTTCCCTCCCTCCCTTCTACTCTCTCTAGAAATCAATGGGAAAAAAATATCAAGTGAGAATTAAAATAAATAAATAGATAGATAAATAAATAAATAACATTCATATGAAAAAGCAAATATGCTGTGTTGGGTATAGGTTCTAAGCTGAGTAATCATGATAAGGATAGCATATGACAACATAAAACTGTTCATTTATTCCTTCCTTCACTCAAATATTTAATGAAGATTATGTACCCAGCCTTATGCTAGGAACTTCTGATATAACAGTCATCATAAATAGACTTGCCTCCTGCTCTCATGGAACTTACTTTGTTTAGTGGAGGAAATAAGCATAAATCAAATCATTTGAAAAAATTTAATGTGTACCTAAAATTGGGACCAATGCTGTAAAGAAAATTATTCTGCAGGCAATGGAAGTTTTTAAACAAGCATAGCAGCATGTTCAGATCTGCAGATTAGGGTAAGAAAAAATCTTTTAGTTAAGCAAAATTACAGTGTAGAGAGGTACTTAAGGCAGTAGGACCAAATAAGTACATAGAATTACAATGTTAACATTCTTCTAATTCTTATAAAAGGTACCAAGGAATTTTCAGTGACTACAAATCTAAGGCCAGTTTTATTGCTCAAAGCACTTTGGTCTTGCCATAGCCTAGGGCCTTGGTTCAGCAGAAACTAAGTCTAGACCCTGCTTAGTGAGTAATATCAGAGCCTTTTCCTATCAGGTCTTCTTCCCTTGACCCTGCCAAGACTTCAGAGTCAAGACTATCAGCATCACAGTCAGTATAGTTCCCACTTATTTCAAAAGAGAAGACTCTCCTCACCTGATTATCGAGTTTCAGCTGTCGAAGCTTCATAGCCTCATCTTCAAAGGCACTGTTTTGAAAAAGTGAAAAGAAAACATGTAAAGAGAAAATCCTTTTAAAGCCATGTTAATTTCATCTTTTCTTAAAAAATATATTTTATTGATTTTTTTACAGAGAGGAAGAGACAGAGAGAATCAGAAACATCGATGAGAGAGCATCATCGATCAGCTGCCTCTTGCACACCCCCTCTGGGGATGTGCCCGCAACCAATGTACATGCGCTTGACCAGAATCGAACCCAGGACCTTTCAGTCAGCAGGCCAACACTCTATCCATTGAGCCAAACTGGTTTCGGCTAATTTCATCTTTTCCATGTATTTTCATGGGCTATTTGGAATCAATGAATTCTGCCTTAGGGAAAGCATCAGTTTTAGGATGCTGTCCACACTGACTTGCCATCCTTAATGCCATTATTCTACAGAGGACCTGAGGATATTCTTACCATTGATTATTAGAGTGGAAGGGAGGAGGAGAGACAGAGAGAGAGAAACATTGATGTGAGAGTGACGCATCAATTGGTTGCCTCCAGAACTCACCCCCAGTGGCATGGGGGAGGAGAGAAAGAGGGAGGGGCAGATCGAGCCTGCAACCAAGGTATGTGTGCCCTTGACTGGAATTAAACCCACAACCCTTCAGTCTGAGAGCCAGCACTCTAATCACTGAGCAAAACCAGCTAGGCAACAGATTTTTTTTTTGATGGAAGAAAACAACAACAAAAATGGAATCAAATTGCATCTTCAATTGATAAACCAAGTCCTTTGAACTTTTTAAAAAGTATATTTTTATTAATTTCAGAGAGAAAGGGAGAGGGAGAGAGAGATAGAAATATCAATGATGAGAATCATTGATCGGCTGCCTTCTGCACACCCCCTATCGGGGATCGAGCCTGCAACCCAGGCATGTGCCCTGACATGAATTGAACCCGAGACCCTTCAGTCCGCAGGTCAACTCTCTATCCACTGAGCCAAACCAGTAGGGCTCTTTTTACCTTTCTAAAAACATTCTCTGAAGCCTTTTCCTAATTTAAGATTTTATTTTGTTACCCAACATTCTTGAAAAGCATAAACTATAAAACAAAGCAGAAATGATCCTCAATTATTTGTATTATAAATTTTTACTGGGAGCTTATAGTTGGTTAGAGCAGTATCCCATACACCAGTCCAGGCACACACCTAGGTTGGGGATTCCATCCCCAGTCAGGGTGATTACAGGAGGCAGCCAATTTTTCTCTCTCACATCAATGTTTCTCTCTCACATCGATGTTTCTGTGTGTGTGTGTGTGTCCCTTCTCTGTAAAAATCAACAGGAAACATCATGGGATGAGGATTTTTTTTTTTTTTTTAAATAAAAGACAAATCCCATGGCTACAAAGGAAACATGGCTTTTCCTGCATTTGGGGTAAATACACCGAAGTATCTATCCATGGTTTAATGGTTTACCCACTACATTCTTATATTTTGGAAAGTTTTACACATTTCATTTTATTTTATTTATATATATTTTTTTAAAGAGCTTGATATGTTTAATAAAGCTTGGTGTCCCCACCCCATACACACCCACACGACATCCCGTTTACAAAACGTCTCTGGGAGCCCTGCCGAGCCCCATCTTGGCCTGCGTCCAGGGACAGGGAAGCCAGGATGGGGTAGCGGGCGAGTGGAGGAGGTGAAGACTAAAATCAGTCCATATAAAGGCTCAAAAAGAGCCAGCCCGGCATCGGCACAGGAAACAGGTAAAATACCCGGCAGAGCTGAACTGCAGGCTACGCTGCCAAGACCCGACGGCCGCCAGCGGCGCCATGGCTCGCACCCGGCTCGCCCGCTCCCACTCTTGAGTTTTACACATTTTAATAATGCATAGCAACTTGGAACTTGCATACCATCTCCAAGACTTTTCCTGCCTATTAATCCTTTAGCCTTGGATGCGGAGGAGCATTCTGATTCTCTGACAATCTACTCTATTAACTCCCTTATATCCTTTATGTTAAAAAAAACACACACACACACACACACACAAAAAACCCTGTATATTCACAAGAAACCACCTCCTTTTTTCTTGCTCAAAAGAAAGACAAACAAATAAATAAAAATGCAGAGTACAATTCTGGCCTAAACTCTGTGGGCCCCTACATTTCTCCTAGATAAGTTCCTGTTTTCCTTAATGCCATTAGTTCTCAATCACAAATTTTACTATTGTAGCTTACTGAATACAGTACTGGAATATTATTAGTATTCAGTAGAATTTAGTATAAATCTGAAAAAGTTCTACATAAAACAACTAAGGGAAAAATATTATGAACATTATATTGTATAATAAAGGGCAAATTGGTAAAAAAAAATAAAAATAAAAATAAAAATTTTTAAATCCTGTTATGAATTTTTCAACAACTACTACTGTGATTCTTCCTCCAACTCGTTTTGCCTTCACCTCCAAACCAGAACTGCAAAACCCTCTGGTATGTTAAAAAAAAAAAAAAAATCATCCTATGCCCCTCCCATCTGAATGCTAAAGTTACCCAAATAAAGCTAAATTCTGACATATGACTTAAATTCTGACACAAGACTGAAGTCCTCTGAAGGCCTCTAATAATGAAACCAGGTGTGTTTTTTCAACACCCTGTGTTGACGCCATTTAATTCCTTTCATCAAGCCTGGGCAAGCTGAGTAATTTAAGTAAACAGGGTATAATCAAAGCACTTAACCTTAACACATGAAACATTAAAAAGGAGCTAGATAACATTTAGATGCATCTTATACATCAAAGCTGTACTTTTTTCTGAGCTCTAGTGTTAAATTGTAACAGCAGAAATAATATATTTTATGTACTTAATATTAAACCTGAACTAGAATTTCTAATCTAAACTGGACTATGATCTTAACTGAATTTTCATTTTTCCCTTTAATATTCTCTCCCTCATTTCAAACTAAGTTGCCAAATAGCAAACCTAACCAAGCCTGATTAATGAATCAACACAAAACATGGAGACTGGTGGAAGGGGTGGAGGCGTGGAAAAGGCTGGCCTCACACTCATGTGCCAGATAAAAATCAGGAGAGAGATCTTGACTACAGAGGTCACCCCCTGAGGAGTGAGGGGTCTCCGCCCCACACCATGCCCTCCACCCCTGTTTCAGTGCCAGGAAGACAAGTTCCCATTACTCTGGCTGTTTTTAAAAATCAGTGGGGAATGTGACTCAGTAAAACTAAGAGCTGCTGGAGTCCCAGGTATTCCTCTTAAACAGCCTGCTCACCTACTTAATCAAACTCACTTGATCTGAGCTCCAGCTGTGGGGCAGCATCTTGTAAGGCAGTGTTTCCCAAACCTCTCTCATGATGAGAATCACCAGGTGGAGTTGTTAAACTACAGATTCCTGAATCCCAACTAAGAAGTGCTAAACTAGAATTTTTGGGAACATATAGGTAAAATTGTATACTGTAAGACAGTCTTAGAGCACTAGTTAAGTATACTGTAAGACAGTCTTTAAAAAGTATACAATTTTACCTATATGTTCCCAAAAATTCTAGTTTAGCACTTCTTAGTTGGGATTCAGGAATCTGTAGTTTAACAACTCCACCAGGTGATTCTCATCATGAGAGAGGTTTGGGAAACACTGTTGTAAGGCACTAGGGACAAATAGGGAGGAACTAAATAAAGTATCTGACATTAGGGTGAGAGCTGAAGGGGCAGCTTTCCTAGAGAAAAGTGCTGGCAGAGGCCATTTCTCCTTTTGAGCCCTCCCCACACAGAGCCAGCAGGTGAGTGCCATATCTGAGTCATCAATCTGGTTAATGCTCACCCTGTCCTGGTGATTCCCTGAAACTCCACCCCACCCAACTTTCGGGCCCAACCAAGCTGTTTACAGTGATTTTTCCATACTAATGGCCTGTCTTAGCTCCTGCTTCAGACTTTCCTAAAATCTCTTGAGCAGCATCTGGCCTCGGAGCGCCATGTTTCTCTTGCTAAGTGGCTATCCAGAGGATGCTCTAACCCACTGAGCTACCCAGCCAGGACAAAAGCCAGTTTACTTTTAAAAAATCTATTCTCTTAGCAACTTTTCAAATTCTACACCATATAGTGTTATAACTATAGTCACCAAACTATACATTACACCCCCATGGCTTAATCATTTTATAACCAGGAGTTTTGATCCTCTTCACCCATTTTGCCTATCCTCCCCCAGCAACTACCAACCTGTTCCCTGTATCTCTGAGTTTGGTTTTTGGGGTTTTTTTTTGTGTGTGTGTTTTTTTTAAATAAATTCTTATTGTTCATATTATTACAAATGTTCCTTTCCCCCCCCTTCTCACCCCTCCCTCTGCCCTTTCCCCACTCCCCATTGTCCTCATCCATAGGTGCACAGTTTATGTTCAGTCTCTTCCCACATCCCCCTCTCCCCTTTTCCCCAAGAATAAACAGTTCACTCCCCTTCCATACCTCTGATTCTATTATATTCAACAGTTAATATTGTTCATCAGATTTTTTTTTTTACTTTTCTTGGTTTTTAGATTCACTTGTTGATAGTTACGTATTTCTTGTTCATAATTTTTATCTTTATTTACTTTCTCTTCTGAAAGAACCCCCTTCAGCAATTCATATAATTCTGGTTTGGTGGTGATGAACTCCTTTAGCTTTTTTTTATTAGTGAAGCTCTTTATCTGACCTTCGAATCTGAGTGATAGCTTTGCTGGATAGATTATCTTTGGCTGTAGGTTCTTGCTATTCATCACCTTGAATATTTCTTGCCATTCCCGTCTGGCCTGCATGGTTTCTGTTGAGAAATCAGCTGACAATCGTATAGGTGCTCCTTTATAGGTAACTACCTTCTTTGCTCTTGCTTCTTTTAATATTCTCTCTTTGTCTTTTGCTCTTGGAATCTTAATTATGATTTGTCTTGGTGTGGTCCTCTTTGGATTCCTTTTGTTTGGAGTTCTGTGCGCTTCCTGGACTTGTAAGTCTAATTCCTTCACCAGGTGGGGAAAGTTTCTGTCACTATTTCTTTCAGTATGTTTTCGA